CTTCCTTCCTTCCTTCCTTCCTTCCTTCCTTCCTTCCTTCCTTCCTTTCTTTCTTTCTTTCTTTCTTTCTTTCTTTATTTCTTTCTTTCTTCATGTTAGGTCTCAAGGCAGCCCACCTATATAACAGTTACAATGGAAAAGCTTGGCTTTTATAAAGAATAAGAAAATAGCCATGGTAGCTTTGGATTTTATTACAGTTCAGAGACTGAGCAGAACCAAGACATGTAATCGGGAGAAATTGAGTTTAAAAAAATATTGTAATTATTAGTTCACAGAACTGAGAACTTACAGTTTTGCTTGAGTTAGGTGTCAGATTGGATTTTTAAAAATATTTATTTATTTTTTAGTTGTAGTTGGACACACACCTTTATTTTACTTATGTATTTTTATGTGGTGCTGAAGATCAAACCCAGGGCCTTGCATGTGCTAGGCGAGCACTCTACCACTGAGCCACAACCCCAGCCCTCAGATTGGATTTTGAGGAACTTTCATTAAACAGAATTCTTTGTAAACATAAAACTACTTTTAAGCAAAACATCAATAGTATAAGTGAGTTTAGTGGATGCTGACAGAGTGGCACAAGACAGTTTTATTTGCCCTTCTACTCTTTATCTGACCTCATAACATCTACACTTGGCAATAGATGTCAAATTTAAGATGTAATATGAGCAAAGAATGAATGAATGATTAGTATCATCATTTTCTCTTTCACAGTTACGCCAATGCACTACTCTCCATTAAACTAGAAGCCTTATCCCAAGGGCAAGATAACTTGAGCTGGAATGAAATTCAGAATTGCATTGATATGATTAATATTGAGATTCAAGAAGAAAATGATCGTAAGTATGAGATACTTTCCTTCTCTACCTTAGTGGTAAAACAGGGTGCCTAAGTAATTTAATTCCCTAGATTAGAGTTACAAGTTTTTGTTTATGGAAGTTTATAAGAACACATTCCCTTAATATGTATGCATTTATTTTTATACAGATGTTAGGCCTGTACTGCTATACCGACATATTATAAACATTCCAAGGCATACACAAAAGACACAAAAGGATAGGGTAAAAATACATAAATAGAAGTCCTTATTATTTTCTTATCTAGACAAGATTACTCTGTAACTTGACTTTTTAAAGCACTCAACTTTATTTTGACCTTTCATTTGGACATTCTTGAAATTTGACATACTTTCTGTCCTAGGAAGGAAGAAATTAAAATGTACTCTAACTTTATGATCATAAATCATGGTAATTTGCTGTGTTTCTAAAATTAAGAGCTGCTAGCATGAAAATGGACCAACCTCAAGAAGATATGCCCTGAAACATGCTTTCTTGAGCATATACTTACTTCCTTGGCATTTGACTCTTTCTTATAAAAACAGTGAAAAGTGAGGAGCTGCGCAATTTCATCTGTCAGCATATTCATTGCTTTTCTATAGTATGAATGATAACTATAAGCTTTAAACTCTCTTTTCCATCATAAAAAACAAACCAACACCATCTTTTTTTTTTGGGGGGGGAGGCTTTTAAGATCTTTAATTTGGTAGCAACTGTGCATTAGAATTGCTAGAATCATTGACTTCTCTTCATCCCCAGCTTCGACTTTTGTTAACTCACTTGTTCTAAGCTTGCTGATGGAGCAAGCGGAAACTGCTCTTGCAATCTACAAAGTTTTCCTGTAATGCATTTAGGTAAGATCTCAAGTCTGGACTTCTAATGCTGTATCTAACTTTGAAATATTAAAATCGTGCTTGAGATAAAGCACATGACTTTGTTAGTTAATTGCATTTGCGTAGTTTTCTTTGCTATCTCCTATGAGCACTATGACAAAAATCAAGTCCAGTTTATTTTTTAAAAATATCTTCTCTCTGAAGAGTCCTACTAGAAAACAGGACTCAGGTGTGCTGCCTTGACAGAGTGTTCCATGGATGTACAGCTGTGACACTGATTCTTAGATACTTTCTTAATTTTGTCCTTTTCAAGTTGTAGAAACACATCTGAGTTTCCTCTTTTAGTACTTCACAACTTTCTGTTGCCTCCTCATTTCCTGTCTACAAGGCATTTGAAAGTCTACAATCAGATGCCTCATTTACAGCCCACTTAGCTATTTATTTTCTTATGTGTTGGCTTGGGAGCTTGTGGCTTTGCCAGATGTGAGTCAAGAGGGAAGCATTCATTTGAGCAGATGTTCAATATCAAGGGGGTGGAGCTGGGGGAGAACTCCTGTGTGTGCATATTGCTGTAGAGCTTAGTCCCCTGGCTCTCTTTGTACTTCTTGGACCCCACCTCTGCACTCTGAATCTTCTGCTGTATTGGTTTGGGTAGTATAGCTAATGCTACCCAAGGGGTAGGACTGCTTTCTTTTGGTAGGCAAAACAAAGAATGAGGTCTCATCTTTGTTTCCTAACTTTCCTTCCAATTTTTGGGGGGAATACCTGGAGTCTACATCTTCTTTAAGAAACCCCAGCATGTGGTGCTTACCCAAAGTTTAGTGCTGAACAATTGTAACTCTGCTCTTTTTTTTCTTCACACTGATGATAATAAGGGAAATGTCAATGTCAATTTCAGATGTCAACTAGAACCTTTGCTTTACCAGGAAAAGAAAAACAAATGGTGTTCGTATAACTTAAAAAGGCAGAAGCTGGGGTTTTGTCTCAGTGGTAGAGCACTAGCCTAGCATATATGAGGCACTGGGTTCAATTTTCAGCATTGCATATAAATAAATGAACAAAGTAAAGGTCCTTCAACATCTAAAAGTCTATTTTTTAAAAAAGGACAGAGCCCTTTTTTAGGTGGCTATTATTTGTAACAGAAATCTGTTGATTGTTTTGACTTTCATTTAACCTTCACTACTAAGTTATTCTGCATAGAACAGAGCACATGGCCATTCTTATATTTCCTTAAAGCATCTTGTCATAAAGCATCTTGTCTACTTATGGTATGCTATAACCAGAGAAGTTATTTCAGATATTATTTCCTTTCGAGAATTTGGAATTTATGTGTAATGTGGTTTGATGTTTTTACCCCTTTGTTGAAAAGAGGTATTTTTATTTAAAATTCCTGAAGCTTTGCATTTGAGGTTATATGTTTAGATACTTACTTTAAAAGCTAGTTAAAAAATATGCCACTGTGATCAGACAATGGTTACACAATATAATTAAATAATCTGAAAGAACTGAGAATTTTTCATGGGTATTATAAAGGTACATTCCTCTTCCCCTACCACCTCCCACCACTCTGCTGCCACATGGTCCAAGTTCTAATTCTGTGTGTCACTGGTGATGTGGATCAGCTAATGGAAATTGCTAAATGTGGAAGGTAAATTCAGTGGAGAAGCTTTAAATGCATTTCCTCAAACATATATGCTCTGATGATATATATATATATATATATATATTGGTATCAGGGATTGAACTCAAGGGCACTTAACCACTGAGCCACATCCCCACCCCTATTTTGTGTTTTATTTAGAGACAGGTCTCACTGAATTGCTTACTACCTCGATTTTTTGCTGAGGCTGGCTTTGAACTTGTGATCCTCTTGCCTCAGCTTCCCAAGCTGCTGGGATTACAGGCATGTGCCACCATGCCTGGCTGCTCTGTTGATTTCTTGATGAAAAGCTCACTTTTCCCCTGTAGAGCCATAAAGAAATATTATTTTAACCATGTAGCCTAGACAAGGAAGTTTTCTTATTTGAGATTTTGCTTTTTAAATTTGGCAGGGACCATTCTTTGTAGAATACTTCATCCACCATCTCAAATATAATATCACACTTTGATTCAAAGAAGTGGGTCATGGCCTAAAGTTTAGTAATCTTTGTACATATGGAAATTCCCCCTTTGCTGTCTGAAGAGAGAAAATGATGCCCAGGGGGCTTCTGGGTATGTCTCTCAGCTCCTATGAGGTCACTTACTATGACCTCAGCTACTTCTGTTAGAAATACACCAAACAAAAACTTAAGCAGGTGATTTCAATCAAGTCAGCTGGAATGCACTCATTGCCAGGTGATAGTTAGGATGTGTGTACATTCTCTTTCTCAGACTTGATTCTGTTAAGACTGTTTTTGGATGGGGTGTTTGAAGCTATTTACAATAGCCTAACCAGCAGGGTGTTCAGTGTGTGACGTATCCTCTACTCTCCAGTTTACAAATACTGTAGGGTGAGATAACAATACCTCATATGTGCATTCTACTTGCACTTTCCAGCGTTCTTCCAATTTTTAGAAATCATATAATTTGCATGTTAGAGAAATAATTTTGTGTTTACTTCAAACATACCTAATATTATAATCTGGAATTATTTCTTTGAGTTTTAGATTATCCCTTTCCCCTTACAGATAAATCTTTTTATTCATATCAAGGTGGTATTTATGTTTTCACTTTCACTGTGGTATTTATGGGGTCATCTATTCAGAAAATAGTTAGCTAACTCTTTTACCTTAACTTGAATATCAAGATGGAGATACTTTTTAAAACTTTGAAGTACTCATTTGGTTTCATGGCACATCACATTTGTAAAGTAACTTGTGATCATATTTTATGAAAAATAACTGACAAAATAAGAAATCTTAGTTTGGCCCTAAGAAAGTTTATTTTCTAAGCTTGTTGCTTGTTACTTTAGCTTCTTTACCATTTCTTGTTCATGGGCATGAAACTAGAAAGTAAAACCCGCTCTTAGCATGCATATGGATGAGTGTGTATACATATATACACACATTGTATTATTTTTATGACTTGATACTTTATTTTTAATAATGAGATAGTAATGAGAAATAGTCTCCAAATAAATCCATTTTACTTAAAATTACATAAAGTTTTCAGATTCCCTAATTTGATTTCTATGCTTTTTTGTTCCTGGACTTTATAGTCCAAGATCATTTAGAGGGTTAGATATGGTAGAAATTAAGATAGAGGATGTACTTATTCATCCCTTGACGTATCTATGTATTAGGACTCCAGGTATCATTTTATTATCTGTTATTGTATAAATAATATGTGAAATATGTGGAATAAATTATCCATATTTTAACGTTAGAAGTATCCCAAAATATGCATAACTGTGTTTATTTCTGTGGAGCCTACCTTTCCCAGTCACCATATGTGACTGTTTACATATAAATTAATTGAAGTTAAGCAAAATTCTTAACTTCAGTTCTTCATTCATACAAGCCATTGGTTAAATACTCAAAAGTTAATGTGGCTGATGGGTACCATATTGGACAGCAGAGAAAGAATATTTCCACCACCACACAAGTTCTATTGGACAGCATTGGGCTATATATATTGGATGTATATACACTGTACTATTAACACTGTAGGGAGTTGGTTGACTTGGAACAGTCTGTTTTGTAAACCTTCACAGAGTGCTGAAGTAAAGTAATCTGAAGAATAGAGTGTATATCTAAATGTTTATGTACTTCCATTTTTCTTTCTATACATTTTGACTTTAATCCAGCTCTAGTATTTTATGGGTCTATCACCTAATATCTTGGCATCGCCGTCTAACACCTAAGTAAGGGTAACACTAAAATAGTTTCTGTGGCTGCTTATAAGCAAAATTATGCCCCCTTCTTAGTAATAACCTTATTAAAATATAATTCACATACCTTTTGTGTGTGTGTGTGTGTGTGTGTGTGTAGTTGGCGATCAAGCCCAGGGCTTCAAGCATGCCAGACGAGCATTTTCTCACTGAGCCACGTACCCAGCCCTTAAGTTTGCCACTTATACAGTGGCCTTTGTGTCTGGCTTTTTCACTTAGCATAATGTTTTCAAAGTTCATCCATGTTGTATCAAATATCAGTGCACTTTATCTTTCATTATAGATTAAAGAATATTCTGGTCCATGGTATACATTTTGTTTATCCATTAACCAGTCAATGGATATTTGGACTGTTTTCACTTTTATTTAGCCATTATAAATAATGGATATAAATGCTGCTTATAAGTTTTTGTGTGGACATATGTTTCCAGTTGGGTATATACCTGGAAGTAGAATTGCTGAATCACATGGTACTTTTATGTTTAATATTTTAAGGACCTGACAATATGTTTTGCAAGATGACTTGCAAAATGATTCCATCATTTCCCATTCCTTTTAGCAAAGTATGAGGGCTCCAGTTTCTTCACATTCTTACCAACACTTATTATCTTTTTTTATTACAGCCATTCTACTGGGTAAAGGTGGCATCATACTGTGATTTGGACTTGTATTGTCCTAATAACAAATGATGTTGTATGTGTTTTCATGTGCTTCTTAACTCTTTGTGTGTCTTATTTCAAGAAATGTATATATCCTTCGCTCATTTTAAATTGCCTTTTTATAATTGAGCTGTAAGAGCTTTTTTACATTCATCATATAAGTCCTTAGATATAAGGCTTACAAATATTTTCTCTCATTCCTCAGATTTGTCTTTTCTCTTTCTTTAATAATATCCCTTGAATCATAAAGGATTTAATTTTGACAAAGTTCCATTTATTTATTTTTTTCATCTATTATTATTTTTACTTTGGGCATCATAGCCAAAAATAGCATTGCCTAACCCAATGCCACAAAGTCTTAGTTTTTTGTTTTCTTCTAAGAGTTTTATACTTTCAGCTTTTACATTCAGATCTACTATTCACTTTCAGATAATTTTTTGTGCATGGTTTGATGTGTGAGTTCAACTTTATTCTTATGCACATGGATGTTCAGAAGTCAAAGCACCATTTGTTATAAAGACTATGTTTTGCCCATTGAGTTCTCTTGGCACCTTTGTCAAAAAAAAAAAAAATCAATTAACCATAAGTGTAAGGGTTTATTTTAGACTTTCAGTTCTATTCCATTGATATAAATGTTTATCCTCTCCCAGATTATACTGTATTGATTGTTGCAGGGGCAACTTTGTAGTGACTTTTGAAAAATATCTTTCAACTCTTCAAGATTGCATTGATTATCTTTCAGTCCTTGCATTTCCATATGAATTTTAGAATGAGCTTATCAATTTCTGTTTTTAAGAAGCAGCAGCTAAAATTTTTATAGAGGTTGCATTGCATCCATAGACCAATTTGACGAGTACTTCCACTTTCACAATATTAAATCTTCTAAACTATATACATAAGACATCTTTTTAGGGTCTGGGAATGTGGCTCAAGTGGTAGTGCGCTCGCCTGGCATGTATGCTGCCCGGGTTCAAACCTCAGCACCACATACAAACAAAGATGTTGTGTCCGCCAAAAAATAAATAATTTTTTTTTTTTAAAAAAAGATATCTTTTTATTTGTTTAGGTTGTTTTTTAAATTTTCTCTGTGGTACTTCCTAGTTTTCAGTGCATGTCTTGTCTTTTTGTGTTAAATTATCCCTAAATATTTATTCTTTGTGTAATTGACCTATGTTAGTAGTTAGAATCTATTATGAATAGATTTTTCCCTCATTTTGCTTTCAGACTGCATATTATATATATGTAGAAATACATTAAAGTTTTTACATTGCTCTTATTATATCAGCCTTGCTGTACTTGCTTTGTAACAGGTGATACTAAAGAAAGAAAGATGTGCTATAATTTAAAATAATTTTTTTTCTGTATTTTTCTAGGAATTTTGGCTGTAGGATTCATCAATGACGCTATAGATGAAGGAAATCCTTTGAAGACTTTAGATACCTTGATGTTACCTAATGCTAAGATTAGAAATGTGGACCCTGATCGTGCCCAGCACTACCAGGATGTTTTACACCATGCAAAATCACAGAAACTCATGGTAGGTTTTAGTATATTTGTTTCTTTTAAGTTTACACGCAAGGTTGAGAACAGAAGGGAAGATTTTTTATTTTAAATTTCATTAACTTTTTTTCCTAGTGAATCAAAATGAAAATAATAAGGCTATTCTTTTCCTGGTACTAAACTTTAAGGGAATGCTAGCTTCAGAGATGATTAGTGCTTTTATTCTTTCACTAAAAACTCAGTTACAGGTGACTTCTTGTTTCGAATCCAATTTTTGGATCTTTCTCAAGTATATGCTGTGTGCATAGTACAGTACATAGTGTTTGATAGGGAAGAGAGGGGATAAAGATACAGGGGGATGCATGGTACCATTTGGGTATTCTCTGTTCTGATCCACAACATACTTAGGAACTTACTGAGGTAGTATGCATTCTTTCATAGAGCAATTAAATAGAAGAAATGACTGTGTAGTGAAATGAAAAAGAGATTGAGAGATGGTTGGGATTGTTCTGGTCTAGAATCTAAAGAGAAGTTACCACGGAGGAAGGACTGTAGCTGAGGCAGAAGGGTGAGAAAGAGTTGGGTAGGTGGGTGGTCCACAGCATGATGCAGTCAGGTGTCCCGTCCGGCAGGACACATCAACGTGGGCAGCGAACCTAGATGGGGAGGAATGAAGGGACAAGAGACACGAAAGGTGACAGCAAGACAAAAATTCTGATCAAGCTGCAAACTTTTATTGTTCACACAGGAGTATTTATATGCTGGGGATGGGGAAGCTCTCTAATCAACAACTGCTGGATGTGGGTGGTAAAACTGCCAGGTGCAAGATGTCTGATGATCCTGATAACCACAGGATGTTCCAGGGAGATAGGTAGCTGCAGGATGCCTCCCAGGCAGGATGTCTCCCAGGGGGCTGTCAGGCTAATCTTTGAAGGAGAATTTCCTTCTAGTCCCGGACAGTCAGGTACTTCAGTGCTCACTGGGAACCAGCATCTTTTGGTCTGAGCATGGTAGGTAGCTTGCCTGGCTGACTTGCTCTTGAAGAACAGTGGTGTTTATCTGGATGCAAGCTTGTGTGGAGATTGGCCACTTTTAGAATTGTGCTTGCATGAGTGTTGAAACCTATATGACCTGTTACCTGAGAGGGAGGGTGGTACTACCTGGGACCTAGCCACTGGTGGTTGACATGTCCCCAGGTGAAAGGGTAGATTATCTTCTGTGTGTAAGTCTTTAGACCCTAAGAACTATCTCATCTAAGATAGGAAAAATATCCTTGGTTAGAAAAAAAGCACTGATTGAGCAACTATTGTTAGGCATGATAGTATTTTATGTATATTATCTCATATAATCCTCTTAACAAAGCAGGAAAGTCTCCTTTCACCATCATTATTGCCCTCTTATGGATCATAAAGCAAAACTTAAATCACTTGTCCAAAGCCATCCAAAAGACAATTAGTTCTGGGACCACAACCCAGGTCTGCCCAATTCAGAAATAACATTGCTGTACATTCAGAGAGATGGAAAGAGATGTTTATTGCACCTTTATTTGCAATAACAAAAGACCAAAAATTACTTAAATGTTTCAAGGCAAAAAATGCATGCTTCTACATAAAAATGAGAGACATATCAATGGGAGCAGGAGACATGCACACTTATCTATGTATGAAATATTTCTGGAAGGAGATGACTTCTAGAATATGAACTAGAAGACTGAAGGAGATGGGAGACTTCTTTTTCTCTGTCTTTCTACTGTTTGGATTTTTAAATTTTTAGAGTGTGTTTTTAGGAAACACTGAGTGTTTCTAAACCTTTAAAGACCAAAGTATATCTTGCTCACTTGGAGGAAATGATGCCCCAGGGTGGGGCCTTCTGGCCTTCCAGCAGGATTGCCTTACAAAGTGCTCTCTCACTTCATGGAGATCTGCCACAGCAGCTGTGGAGTGGTGCTCTCACCTGATGTAAATTGGGTTTCAGAATGAGTGCTTGGCCAGGTACTACCATTGAATGGAAGAGTGAGGACCCAAACCCAAGTCTCATGCCCCCACATCCAGGGAGAGGGGATGGGGCTTCTCCTTGCTATTCCCATGGAGGTGGCTGTGTCCATGCTATAAGGCAAACTTGTGAATATTGAAAGAGAAAATTATTTGTCTTGAAGACAGGCACCATATGGATCCTGGCTACGTGACCTAGGTCAGGTTACCACATCTCTATATGCTTGTTTTCAAATGTGTAAACATGATACCTGTCTTACAGAATTATAATGAGAGTTAAATGAAATTATATAAAATATATACAGTAATATTATATGAACAATAATTACATATAATAACATTAATTATAAACATTTGTGTGTGTGTACACACACACACACACACACACACACGTACAGTTACAGCATTTAACATGAAACCTGGCAGTGTCCCCCCACAAAGAAAAACCCAGCTTAAATAATTTAGCTAGTAGTATAGGCAACTGTGGCTGGCTACCTTCCAAGTTGGGGTGAATAATGTCTATATCATATCATAGGGTCCTTATTAGACACAGGATCTGCTCTGTCAACACACCTCAGTTTTTCTCTGCCTACAATGGGTATTTGTCTTTTGAGGGGAGCCCAACATCACATGGCCAAGAACTTTTACAGGTGGTATAGGCCCTCTCCAGAGCATTCCAGGCGAAAGCTTTAGAACAAGATGAACACTCAGAAGCCTCCAATTTCCTCTATTGGGCAGGCTTCCTATGTGTGGAAACTGCAGCCTCAATGGTACAATCAGAGCTTTAAATATGGAGGACAGGGATCTGATGCTACCTCAGAAGTCAAAACACTTTTGACCTATGAAACTAGGGGCTTGAGCTCTATTGGCCATTGCTGACAAATTCAAAACACTAAAATTTCAAGGAATTACTCGTTTGATTAAATTACTATTTTTAAATACAGTTTACATTTTTAGTTCATTATTATTTATTTATTTACTTACTTACTTAATTTTGGCACTAGGGACTGAACCCAGGGACACTTACCACTGAGTTACATCCCCAGTCCTTCTTATTTTTTAATTTGAGACAGGGTGTCACTAAGTTGCTAAAGCTGACCTCAAATTTGCAATCCTTCTGCCTCAGGACCCAAATTTTGGTTTATAAGTATCTGCCAAGGTACTCTGAAGTCCATTATATTTTAAACTTTTCTCAGTCTGTTCTTTTCCCTAGAAAAATCTGTTTCTGTTTGTTTGGCTGAGACTTTTTTTTTTTTAAACATAATGTTTTGATTGATGGAAATTTCCAGTGTCTTTTTATAGGGTGGTATTTCAGTGCTTCTTTTTCCAAAGATTGAACTTGAAAAATAATAGAAGAGAATTACATTGCTGATATTATCACTATGGGTAAAGATGTTACAAAATATTTAGCCATTAAAGATCACAATGGATAACATCTTCACAAAAGGATGCTCAAAGATTGGGGACAGTAATGTAAGTTAGTGAGGATTCTTGATCCTTTTTAACAGTGTAACTGTGTAGGCAAAAATTATTTTTTTCTTTTGGGGACAAAATTGATATATATGTAGCAGAGTAGAACACATTTTCTTTGTCTATCCACTAGAGGCAGTGAATTGTGAGCAGTTTTAAAACGGAAGGCTTTGCCTGACAGCATATGAAATACACCCCACCAAAAAGTTCTGATTTACTCCTTGTATATTTACTCTATACAAATTAGGTATGTGTTTAACAAGTGAATATTGCTACATTTTTTGGAATCTTGAAACTTATTTTAGATTCGTTTTTCTTTGCTTGCTCTAATGTTTACCAGATTAGGCTCTAATATTTCACCTCCTATCTTATCCCTAAGTCAAGAGAAATATAGTTATTTACCAATGGAAATATACTGAAAGTTTATAACACAATACTATCTCCCCATTAAAATTATAAGGAAGAAAAATAGAGGCACTATTTTAAATCTCTAAATGACCTATGAGTATATTCTTAGTTTAACTCCCTTGCTTTTTTTGTTTTAAATATGCCCAACCAGAAATGAGGTCATCTCATGCAGAGTATATTGCCTCTTCCATGTGTATTGAATGGGCTTCCATGCTATTTAGAAGTTTGGGGATTTTATTCTTTCACTAATTTGGCCACATGATGTGCAAAGCATGTAAAATGTACACACTATGTGAATAGTTGTTATGCTGTATTGTTAAGGGAGTGACAACAAGGGGAAAGTCTGTACGAATTCAATACAGAGGTAGTCTTTTTTTAAAAAAAAAAAAATTGTTGATTGACCTTTATTTATTTTATTTATTTATTTATATGTGGTGCTGAGACTCGAACCCAGTGCCTCATGCATGTCAGGCATATGCACTACCACTGAGCCATAGTCCCAGCCTGGAGGCAGTCTTTTTTAAAAATGTTTTTGATCCATAGTTGGTTGAATCTGCAGATATGGAGCCCACAGATATAGAGGGCCTACTATACATAGTGCTTAATTGTTTGTGGAACTAATATTAGTATAAATTATTAGATACATAATATCTATATATAATAGAAAATATAAGAAAGTGCTTTGGAAGTTGAGATGAGAAAAATGACACTTCTAACATGAGCATCTGGCAAGGACTGTCCTTTGAGGACTTCCAGAAATGGCCAGAATTAAGGCAAAGATGTTAGAACTAGTTTTCCAGCAGAGGCAGGAGTAAAAAGAGGAAAAAATAACTTCATGGCAAAGCAAAAGGTTTGACAAAAGATTTGACATGGCAAAGTAAAAAGTTTGACTAGTTCAATGACTGTGATGGCCCGGCATATGACTTCTCCAGATACCCAGTTGTTCTCATTGAGATGGTAAGCTATCTTAAATAGCAGCATCATTAAAAAAAAAAAAAAAAAAAAAGAAGAAGAAGATCTACAATGGCCAAGTTGGTGTGGAAGATAGTCAAATGAGTGGATCTGGTCACAAAGAAGGTGTTCCACAGCATTGGCTGACACACCACTCACAATACCAGGATATAGATGGCAGATAGCAGCTTGGTACTTAAGGAACTTCGCAGGTACCCCATGGTCACATTATTCACATGGAAAGTTGAAGCAGTTTCATCAAACTTTTCTCCTCATTAACCTTCTTAAAATACTGAAGTATGAAGTATTTTTTTAAAAAAAATTACTAGTACTTTTTTCAAAACACCTTTATTTTATTTGTTTACTTTTATGTGGTGCTGAGGATCGAACCCAGTGCCTCCCACATTCTAGGCAAGTGCTCTACTGCTGAGCCCCAGCCCCAACCCCAGCCCCAATTATTAGTACTTTTGTAACATTTGATATTTGAAGCATTATTTCTTAGAAGGTAAAAAAGTGGAGCTAGAGAATAGAGCTCCTTATACTTTGCATATATTGTCCTACTATGTGTGTTTTCACAGATAGCTTTCCATGATCTTAAAATAATCTCACAACTCTAAGAAGTGCAGTGATCTACAATTTTTGACATGAGAAAATAAAGGAATGGATCTAGGCAACTATTTATGCTACTCAGGCATAGAGCTATGAGATAGGTACCATATAAGCCATCAGTAGTGTTGTAGTAGTAGGTAGCATGGTGAATGATGAGTATAATATTGCTTGGAGCAAAGCAAATGGTAAAAATCACAAGGATAAGGAGACTTGCCTTGATATAACTCAACCATCTATGATCATATGTTCCAAGTTTGTGGATGATGTTTGTATAGCAGTAGATTATAACCACAAATGGAATTAAGAATCCAAAAAAAGCTAAGAAGATAAAGTAGTAGAACTGGAAGAGAGGTGAAGACTTCTCACATGTGTTGTAGACATCATGGCAGGTGGTGATATCCAGCTGGGGAAGATAATATTTCTGCTTCATAATGAAAAATGGCAGCATATATAAGAAAACCGTTATCCACACCAGTCCACATGCTAGCAAAAAATAGGTGCGCTTGGGTAGTCTTCGGTATATGAAAGGATGGACAATGGCCAGGTAGCGGTTAAGGCTCATGCAGGCAAGGAGCAGAATGGAACAATATATGTTACCATAAAAGATGACTGTGATGGCCCGGCACATGACTTCTCCAAATACCCAGTTGTTCCCATTGAGATGGTAAGCTATCTTAAATGGCAGTGTCATTAAAAAAAGAAGATCTGCTATGGCCAAGTTGGTGTAGAAGATAGTCAGACGAGTGGATTTGGTCACAAAGAAGATATTCCACAGGGTCACAGCATTGGCTGGCACACCAATCACAAATACCAGGATATAGACGGCAGGTATCAGCTTGGTACTTAAGGAACTTCGCAGGTACCCCATGGTCACGTTATTCACATGGAGAGTTGAAGCAGTTTCATCAGGGCACTTCATTTTTACAGTTGTGGTGGCTCCTGTCCAGCCTTCTATGGCAGAAAGGGGGAAATCTTCAAAAGAATTTGGGGGAAATCCATGAAAGGTCTTAATAGTTAGGGTTGGTTTTACCAAGTTGTCTGAAACATTTTCCTTGCCTGTAATGGAAATATTAACATATGATTTGGTGGAAGGCAATATCATAAAATGAAGTGCTTTGTACTACATAATTTCTATAGTTGTAAAATTTAGGTTATTTTTATTTTTAAAAATCCATTATAGATCAGGCAATCCTCAGGCATGTATTTAGTACATATAATATGCCCTAGAACCATGTTAATCCATGTATGAACATAAACTAGATGGCAGCTCCTTGCCTGTAAGGAGTTTATAATGCTATTGGAAGAAATAAAAATAGGCCAACAGAACATTATAGGCAAGTGCTAAGTTGACTATAAGCTATATAGGTATTCAGACAATAGCTAACAGATTTGGGCATTTAAACAAAATGTCAAGGAAAAAACAAAACAGTAAAGATAACCATGGCTTATAAAGAGATGGAATTTATAAATAGATTAATTTTATCCTGCTGGTGATGCATGGGCAAAGGCATAATATAGGCTGGCATAGGATCTGGGAATGCTAGATGCTAGTTCAGCAAATGTTTATTGTATGCTTATGTGCCAATGGTATAAAATTTTCAATGAACTCCATAAATACAGAAGATGCATGTACATCTTTGAACAGAGGAATGACCATTGTGCTAGAATAATGGTACTCCTACACATAAAGATCCCACCTGCTAATCCCTGAACCCCCTATGAATATGTTACCTTATATGATAAAGGGATTTTGTAGGTATAAATAAGAGACTTGAGATGTTAAGGGACTTGAGATGGGGAGAGTGTTCTGGATTGTCCAAGCATGGGCTAAATGTAAGAGTCTTTATAGGAGGAAGGCGAGGGACATAGAAAGATAATGTGTGCTACTTGGCTTTGAAGATGGAAGAAGGAGCCATGATCCAAGGAATACAGGAAGTTTCTAGAGGCTGAGAAAAGGCAAGGAAGCATTCTCTCCTACAGCCCTGCCAACACCTTGATTTTAAGACTTCTGAGCATCAGAAATATCAAATAAAAAACCTGTGCTTTAAGCACTGAATTTGTGATTATTTGTTATAGCAGCAATAGGAAGCTAATATAACCATGATTTTGACTAATGTTTAAGATGACTTTGGTGCTAGCATACTAGAGAACAGATTGTAACAGGAAGAAATTAGAGATAAGGGGGCCTGATAGGAGGCTGCTATAATTATTCAAACTTTAAGGAATGGTGAGTAACTGAACTAGAGCAAATCACATGGAAAGGTGATGAGCAGAGCTCACAGGGACTTCGCATCTGACAGCAGTGGAGTAGCAGGAGGCAAGCTGACTCGGAGGGGCCTACTCTAGATGACTTGAGAGAGGAGAATGCCATTACTGAATTTAGGACAAGAGACAAGAAGCAGATAAGGGAGAAATTAAACCCTGTTTTTAGTATTACTGGGGTGCAGTTGCTGATGGGATGTTAATATGTAAAATGTCCAGCAACTGGTTAGATAACCAGATGTGGAATCCAAAATTCCATGAGTCCATATTAGAGGTATGGATTTTTTTAGTCTGTACAGAGGCCATCATTTAATTTAGAAGGAGTGGTAGGTATGGCCTACCAAGAGATGTGAGAAGAATCCAAAGGCCGACTAAGGAAAATACCAGGTACTAAGGGGAGAGAAGTCAAAGGAAGAAAATCAGAAAATGAAATTGTTAAAATAACTTAAGATATTAGAAATGGATATTTTAAAAGGAATGAAACATATAAACTATAAACTATAAGTTTTTGGCATTACTTGGCATGTTGACATTAATAATCCTAATTCTTGAAAGGGCAATTTCAAAAATAAATAAACCTCAATATGTAAACCTTAATATGCAAATAAATTTTCCATAAATTAATTCTGGACGTTTATAGAGAATACATTCTCTCTGATTTGTAATATGACCTTCTAGATGTATGTGCCTTTTATGCCTTATAAAAACCTCTTGTCAATTTAAAATGCCAGTACTCTGCCAGGTATAACTCACCACATGACCTCTGAATTTCTTTGTGTTGAATACTTGTGGTTAACTGTGGAAAGCAGTATGGAGTTTCCTTAGAAAATTTGGAATGGAATCACGATTTGACCCAGTTATCCCACTCCTTGTTCTATACCCAAAGGACTTAAAATCAGCATACCACAGTGACAAAGCCACATCAATGTTTATAGTAGCTCAATTCACAAGAGCCAAGCTAAGGAAACAACCTAGGTGTCCTTCAACAGATGAATGGAATTTTTAAAATGTGGTATATATACTCAATGGAATATTACTCAGACATAAAGAAGAATGAAACTATGGCATTTGCTGGTAAATGGATGCAAATGGAGAATGTCATGCTAAGTGAAATAAGCCAATCCCCAAAACTAAAGTCCATATGTTCTCTCTGATATATGGATGCTAACCCACAACAACAGAGGGTGGGGAGCGGAAGAATAGAAGTCCATTGGATTAGACAAAGGGGAATGAAAGGATTAGACAAAGGGGAATGAAAGGAAGGGAGAGAGGAATAGGAAGAATAGTAGAATGGATCAGACATAACTTTCCTAGTTTTGTTTTTAAATACACAACCAGGGTGACTCCATATCATGTACAACTATAAGAATACGATCCTAATTAGAATGGGTTATGCTCCATGTATGGATAATATGCCAAAATATGTTCTACTATCTTATATAACTGAAAAGAACAAATTAAAAAAAAAATATTGAAGTTAGTGTTACCAAATAGTTCATCATTCAGAGCCAGTTGCTCTTACTGTTCTAATCTCTAGCGGCTTCCTCCCAGGGGAAACTGAAGCCTCCCTTATAACTCTGAGATTGCACAAACTGATTTCAGTGTGTAAGATGGAGAAAATGTGATCTGAACAACTGGAGACCTAAAGGTGATCAGATATCACTAAAGGAAAGGTGGATTAGAGAAAAGGAAAGAATTTGGAGGGCAGCACTCTTCAGGGTCTGTGTTTAGACATGATCACTGAAGGGATGCTGTTAGACATTTGAACTCAACTGTACAAATCCTTCATGTTTTTTTTTTTTTTTTTTTTTTTTTGCATTTGGGAAAAGATCTTGGGTCTTATGTGACCTAAGGAGAGGTAGATTCCTGTAAAGAAAGATAAGCAGAAAGCTAGAGAATGGTAACTACAGACCATGCTGTACAAGAGATTTCCCCTCAGGATCTGATAAGAGAGCTGTTGAAACCAAGTGTTTGTTAGTTTTCAGAAAATCTCTGTGATTAAGCAAGACATGGTGCCTGTGGGCATGCTCAACAGTGACTCATTGGTAGAAAAGTTGATTCGAATCCAATTTTCCATGAGAATTCTGGATCTGATTCCACTTAATAAGTCTTTTAGTCCTCAGAGCCTGATCTTAAGAATAGTGCTTATCATTAAGTTTATTTTTTAAGTTTATTTGAATTCTTTATATATAGGTTTCCATTTGGCATCATGATTGTGGAATGATTTCCAGAGGGGCTAGTCCACAGGGAACAGATTTCCCTCACTATGGATGGGTTCTCCCTTTACATCTTCCCCTGACCCCGTCAAAGAAAACAAACTCACTGCCCTTTACTTTGTCTGTGTGTGTGTGTGTGTGTGTGTGTGTGGATGGACACAATACCTTTATTTATCTTTAGGTGGTGCTGAGGTCAAACCCAGGGCTTCACACATGCTAGACAAGCACTCTACCACTGAGCTACAACCCCAGCCCCACTTTGTCTCTTCTTAAGTTCCCTATTTTCACTTTCACCAAACCGTACTACCGTCTTTGAAGGAACCTCCCTCATCAACCTCGTTTCTAGCCACAATGCTGCTCAACTTTTTGGTTCATTGATCCCAGAGTGAGTACATGTTTATCCTTTCAAGTGCTACACTATCTACAAGTTCCCTTGGCTCTCTCTGTGGTGACCTAATGACCTCCAACTATCAATTTAAGCAACATTCCTTTACTCAAGGTTTTTGTGGTGGTGGTGATGGTGGTAGTGGTTTAATTTGGGGCTTTTTATGCCTTGTACCTCTACCTTTCCCACTCCTACCAATGTAGTGGAGTGTGACCTAACAGTAAAAAAGTTGTGGTTATAGCTCCATCCCAAATCATGGATGGAACAATGAACTTCAGAACAAGTAGGGTAGCAGACTAGCATTGTGATGGGTAAAACAGAAAACATTCATGGTAGCATATCAGTATTTGGAAACAGTATTTTTAAAATTATAAAAATTCATTTATAAGGGTAGAGAGAGGACTCCCTGGCACTATTCCATTTTGGAAATACTAATGTATTGGCATCACAAGCTACTAAAGGCAAATGACTCTTTCAGGCAATATTCTTGTTTCCCCCATTTGTGTCTCACCAGAAAGTATAAACACAGGATTTTTTCCCTTGAAAAAGTGCTGTCTTTCCTAATCAGATGAAATTCCTAAGGAACACAGAACTTCTCACAGAGAAAGTTGTTTCTTGACTTAATTATAGTTGTCTAAAATCTTGACAAGGCAACACTTTTAAATATCAGGAGATATTAGTCTTTGATGAAATTTGACTAGTGAGCCTGGTGCGGTGGTGCTCACCTATAATTCCAGTGATTCCAGGGGCTGAGATAAGAGGATCAAAGCCAGCCTTAGCAAAAAGCAAGGTGCTAAGCAACTCAGTGAGACCTTGTCTCTAAATAAAATACAAAATAGGGCTGGGGATGTGGCTTAGTGGTCGAGTGCCCCTGAATTCAATCCCCAGTACCCCCCCCCCCCAAAAAAACATTGACTAGTGCACAAACTGTAGATTCTGACTTCCATGATCATACCTTTTGATAACCAAGATCAGACTCTACAGTTTTTGTCAGATGCAAAGATTAGGTTCACTTGGCTTTTGTAATACAAACAAGTTCCCCACCCTCCTACTCCAGAAGAAAAGAGCTTACCACTTCCACAAAACATGGGTGACAGAAGAAGTAGTCCAGCAGCTGTAAAGATGAGGGCTTTCATTTCAATGACTTGAGTCCAATTTCTCTAACGTTATCAAATGTGTAAAATCACAGAGCACAGTTTCCCCTCAATTCCGTATGTTAATAACAAAACCTTGTTCTGTCAGTAGAAGTGTGCTACCCTGGCCTTTGTGGGCAGGAACTTGCCTGAGACCTCTGCAGGGGAAGGATGTGACCAACTCAATGTTTCAGTATGACTCAGGCTGAGCTTCTGAGCATGTTTCGTTATCCATGAAAAAAAAAATCATTTAACTCTTACCCATACCCAAAAATCTGGTCTGACCAGATGCTGTAATTTTCACCTGGTGTGTTTATGTACATTTTTAAAAAACAACAGAAAGTAAAGAGCCCTTTACAGAACTAAGCTGAAAAACAGATGCAGAGCAGCAGTTAGCTTTGAAACTGTCCCATATCTCATTTTACCCATTTTTAAAGTTACTTTGTAGTTGAACAGTCAGAAATTATCCTTAACTTTATTCTGCCAGCTATTTCAAATTTTAAGAAATTAAAATTGTTCAGGTGCTTGATTTCTTTCAAAATTCTGTGTTGCCAGACACAGGGGTACAAGCCTATAATCCCAGAGGCTCAGGAGGCTGAGGCAGGAGGATCGTGAGTTCAAAGCCAGCCTTGGCAACTTAACAAAGTTCTAACCAAGTTAGCAAGACCCTGTCTCTAAATAAAATATAAAGGGTTGGGGATGTGGCTCAATAGTTAAGTGCCCCAGTTCAATCCCCAGTACCAAAAAGAAAAAGAAGAAAATTCTTTGCCAATGTCTCATTGGTCTGAACTTGTCACCAGTGCCTGGCCAGAACTTACTTTTATATTTGTTGTTGTTTGGAGATAGGGGTGTCACTTGTTTGCCATAGTTCATGTGTTCTGAGCCATTTAGTAACTCTTTAGGGTCACATAACTAGAGAGACCCATCCCCGACCAACACTATTTGGTTGAATTGAAATCATAATGCAACATTGAAATGCAGAGGACTCCATAAGTGTTAGTTATACAATAAGATTTTTTAAATTGTGATAACATATACATAAGTAAAATTTTCCATGTTAACCATTGTTAAGTTCATAGTTCCAATGTGTTAAGTATATTCACATTGTTGTACAACATATATTAAGCTTTCATGAGTAGTTATTTTCTGGAGAGTACAATTTAATGTACAATAAAAAGAAAGAAAGAAAAAGCTGCACTATAACAAATTTGCTTATGATTAACAAAATGATTAAACTCTAAGCCAGCCAGCCTACTGGCTATAAAAATGTGGCAATATCAGAAAATTAAATTTTGTGAGACTTGAAAGGTAAGAGATAAAACTGGGAAGGAAGTGATATGTGTATAGACATCTTAATTAAGTTTAATCAAATCAAGATTTTTACGAAGGTTGATGTTTCATACTTCAGCTAAATAATATATGATAACAAAAAGTGAGATTGAAGCTATTATATGGCAAAAAAATAATTTTTAAAAATCATTAAGACATGAAGACGTTTTGTTGTTGTTTAAAACGTTTCTAGAAGTCATCTAAATTCAGGAGTTTGTGGCTTGATTTGCACATGCTCTGGTTTCTGGTCATTTAATTCATTTGTAACTCACATGTTGAACCTGGCTGTTCAGCTGAGGTGGTAACCTAGCCATCCCATAGTCTTTTCAGTCTTCTAGTGAGTAATTGAAAGGAGACCCTACATTTTACTGTTGTAGTTGTTGGTTTGGGCAGTGCTTGGGGGATGGAACCCAGGGTCTCACATATGCTAAACAAGTGTTCTATCACTGAGCTATACCTCCAGCCCAGGATTTCACTTTTACCTTGAATTTGTGTTTAACTTAGTTCAGCACATCACACTTTAAACTGTTGATTTTGATTTGGCTTTGCAAAGTCTTGCTTTAGATTAATTTATAATATTTTAATCTTTGAAGTAGGATTATAGGATTGTGACTACGTTCTCTTCTGGCAGAAGTCAGTGTGGTGCATCTTCTGCAGTAATCAGTTATAAATGAACATAATATCCTTCAAGAAAACCCTGAGATGGACATAAATGAACTTGTATGGAACTCAAGTTTATAGGCTATTCCTGGGGAGTGTTGGGTCTCTTTGGACTTAGAAATAGAGAACAGGTAGTCCAGTTTCTGTTGTCTCCTCCTCCTCCTCCTCCTCCAGGCTTCTCCTTACCTTGCTTCCTGATTGACTATAACCCATCCAAAGTTTCATTTAGAAAGAGATGAAAAGTACTAACAACTGGTGGCTCCCATGTGACAGCCATAACTAGAGATGATCGAGGAAGCATATACCACGCCTTCCCCAGAACTCTATTAACGACAATGATACAAAAAGAAATGGCCCATATTTTATCTCATTTTCAGAGCCCTTGGCACATGCAAGTTAGAAGCCTACCAGAAAAGCTGGTAGATGTTACTTCTTCTTCTTCCCCCTCCTCATCCTTCTTGAGTCCTAAGTGATGGAATTGGTTCTGTATGGTTGCAGTACCAAGTCACTTGTTTCCATTTGTCATAGCCTTGATTCAGAATTTAGAACACAGCACTTAATCCCTACACATATTTAAATGTTCCCATTTTTTAAGTGGAATGTCATATCTTTCCTGAAAATATTTCATTTCCTTGGATAAAAATTTCTTGCCATCTTGGACAAGTTTTTATAAATCTATCCAGGAATCCCATTTAATATAGATCCCAGCACCACATTTGTAGCAGTCTCATCAAGACCAACCCAAAGGAAAATAGTGAAAATCATTCAGTACTTTTTCATTGCTGCTATCACTTGCTTTCAAATGCTAGCCTTAACTACTCTTTTCTTCTGTTGCAACTTAAGACCCCTACTATTGAACTCCTCCTTGATCATGTGTCTACAGCTAAGATTGCCCCAATCGTAATTACTTTAAAATATATATTATAATTATTTCTTGACACATCTATCTCTTCCACTAGACTGCCAGGTCCTTGAGAACAATCACAGTGTTTAAATTTTTATTTTTGTCTCTCTCTCTGATAAATGCTGAATATCACTGTGTTTCCCTTAAATTTAAAATATCCCTTGGCACATAGTTTGTAACTGATGGTTTTTGAATGCTTAGGGGAGAGAGTATTTGACTAGGTAGCCAGGGAAGACTTTTTGGATAAGGAAGCATTTGAATTGAGGCCTGAGTGATGAGGGGGAAAGAGCAGCCACACAGAAAGGGTGGAGTGCTGTAGTCTGAAGGAAGCTGGTGTGAAGTTCTGGAACAGGTAAGCAGAAGGGTGTGAGGTGAAGCTAGAGGAGTAGGCAGATCACTGAATCCCCAAAGCCCATGAGAAGAGGCTTTGTGCTCTGTTTCCTTCCAACTGCAGGGGAAGGTTGGGAGAGGTTAGCTGATGAGTAGGATGATGAGACATCTGTTTTGAAGATATCCTGTGGCTCTATGTCGAGAATCACCACGGGACAGAGCAAACTTGGAAGCAGCAAAAGCAAATAAAGGGACCAGTGTAGCTGTCCACTTGAGAGACAAGGGTGGGCCGGACTCAAGGGAAGGAGCAAGGAAGGGAGAAGTGGTCAGATTTGGACTCTGCTCATTAATAGCATGTGCTTTATATGGCAGGACTTGATAACTGTTGAATGAGAATTCGTGGAAGTTATAATAAGAGGACTCTGAAAAGCAGTTCTTGATTCCATCCCATAACCACCTCTGATACTTTTCCTAGGATCTTGAGAGTGCTTCCAAAGTTCTTTGGCTGGATGAGATACAGCAAGCCATCGACGAGGCCAATGTGGATGAGGACAAAGCAAAGCAATGTAAGCACCTGCAGTCTTTTGCTTGTTTTTGGAGCTATGCCTGAAGTCATATAGCTTTTCATTCCTGGGATAATTTGGGCTCTCTTACCAAGTTTCAGTTCTTAGATGTGTACTTATATAAAAATACGATTTTGATTGCATATTTTCAGTGAGTAACTGCTTTTCAGAGTCATCTTATTATAATTTCCACGAATTCTCATTCAACAGTTATCAAAATTTGATGATGTTGCTGAATAAAATCCAGGAAATTAAAAAAAAAATACTTTGTATGCTCTTGAATTTTGTAACTGAATCAAATCCTTTTTTTTTTTTTTTTCTTAATCCCTAGAAAACTAGCCCATACCTGCTCCATAAATGAGTGTTCTCTTCTATGCCCTCCACTGCTAGGTTTTTCAGAGAAACAAACTAATAGGGAGTGAGGTAAGAGGGTGTACAGGTATATCTTTTAAGGCAGGCTGACAGGAGCCAGGCCCTCAATCACTAAACATAAATGGGTGTGGTTACTGTCATGACCCCAGAGTCAGAGCAGTTAATTGGAATAGTTTTGGAGAACTATAGAGTTGTGCAACTGATCATGGTATTCCTAGAATAGAAATTGACTGGTAGTTTACTAAATTCTTAGTCTGTACAAGTATGTGTTAGTCAGCTTCTAGTTGCTATGGCCAAAATATCTGACAAAAACAACTGAGAGGAGGAAAAGTTTATTTTGGCTCAAGTGTCATAAGGGTAGTACATGGTAAGCTGACTCCATTGCTTTGGATTCAAAGTGAGGCAGAATATCATGGCGGGAGGACATGGTGGAAGAGTTCTACTCCATTTATGGTGTCCAGGAAGCAAAGAGAGCAAGGGAAAGGGGCTGCGGGGAAGATGAACCCTTCCTAGGCACGATCCCATGATCCACCTCCTCCAGCCTACCGTTAACTTCCAGTTATTCTATTCAAACTAGAATAGACTAATGAGGTTAGAGTTCTCACAATCCCATCATTTCACCTCTGAACATTTCTGCATTAACCCAGGAGCTTTTAGGGGACACCTTATAACCAAAGCATAACAAAATAGAAGAGTTCCAAGTCAGGGAAGAAAAGTCTAACTTGAAATATAAAGAGAGTCTGGACCTAGTTCTGGACCTAGTTCTCAAACTCAAAACCCTTTGAATGAAGGAGGAGACCAAGTCCCCTTGAAGAAGTATGACACCACACTGCCCCAAAATTATACTTTTAATCTTTCTATCATCCTTCACCAAACAGGTCTTGTTTGTACCAAGCTGAAGTAGGGGGAAGAGTATAATCAGACTCTGCAAGGACTATTAGATACTGACTCTGAACCAACACTAACTGCAGGAGACCCACAGTGTCACTCTAGTCTACCACTCAGAGTAGGAGCTTTTGGAAGTCAGGTTATCACTGGAGTTTTATTTAGTTCACACCTATCTCACAATGGATCCCTAGTGGGTCCCCAAACCCATCCTGTGGAACTTCCTCAGTTTTGAGGTGCCTAATTGGGATGGACACACTCAGCAACTAGCAGAATCCCTGCATTTGTTCTAATGATTAAAGTCTTTATTTTATTTCAAACCTCAATCCCATCATTTTTATTTCAAACCTCAACCCATCAATTTTCATGGGGGAATAGTAAGAAAATTCACCTGACAATCTGAAATAGCATCTAAATTGATATTACTAACAATCTCCATATATAAAACTCTACATAAATTAAAACAAGAGTCCTAAAAGTATATTTCATTAACCTGCCCATACTTGGCATAATTAGATTCTATTGTAGCAAGTTAGCATGCTGTTGAAACTGCTTACTGTTACTTCACAGATGGACTTTCAAACTTTGGAAGCTTCTGTGAGGAACATCTGGTTTCTATTTCCTTAGCTTGGAAAAAAAAAATACATGTATTTCTCTAATCTGAACTTTTTACACTTAGAAACTTTGAAGTCGTTACTTTCCAGTACTCTACTACTCAAGGGGAAAAATACACACACACACACACACACACACACACACACACATTTGAGATGTTCACATCAGAAATCTAAATTTACATACAAAAAGATTACAGTTCAGATGGGAACATAGGATATTTAAATTTACATATAAAACCAAAGGCAGCCATAGTTTGAAGATAGCTACTAGATTGTAATATAGAAGCTTCTTTTTCATTTTTGGTGGTACTGAGGATTGAGCCCAGGGATGCTTTACTACTGAAATATATCCCCAGTCCTTCTTCTTTTTTTTTTCTTTCTTTCTTTCTTTTCCTGAAACAGGTTCTCCCAAAGTTGCCCAGGCTGGCTTTGAACTTATGATCCTCTTGCCTCAGTCTCTTGAGTCACTGGGCTTGTGCCGTTACCCGCTTGTGCCATCATGCCTGGTTTATATAGTTGTTGTTACTTATCAGAATTTCTTGAGTTTTTATAATAGACTGAATAATGCAGACACTCAAATAGCCTAAAATGATTATGACTTTTTTCTTCACTATCAAGGTAGAGGTCATTGTATTCCTTTTATTCATTGTTCTTAGTTTGGCCTGCAAATGTTGGTTCTTTTTTCACACTGAGACTCATGGACCTATAGGCAATAACAATGAGAGGTTTTCTTAAATATTTATGATTTTGTACTCCTTACTTGGCCTATCTTATCCTTCTGCCCCGTCCCTTGCAAGGGTGGCTGCACTCTCTCCTACATTATACAACAACACGAAAATATTTTTTGAAGTTAACCATCTTATTCAGACATTGAAATGAGAATTTTTTGGGTTTTCATACTTTTAAAAGTTTTCTACATCCTTTCCATGAAGGCTTGAAACAGACTCTGGCCACATGTTGTAAGCATCTCAGATAATTTGATAAAAGAAAATGTGCTGGCCCATATATTTCCACAGGCAAGATTTGAAAGGGCAAGGTAACTCAAGTCTCCTTCATTTGGGCTCCATGTTCATTTTCAAGAAACTGCAGTTTTTTGCTTGTTTAAATTTTGCCTCAATATCGACTCCTTAGAGCAATGTTTCTCAACTTTTTTTTTTCATATTTGTACTCTAAGGAATCTTTTAAAATATTTTTCCATAATCTCTCATCATGAAATTTTAGTACCACAGATATATTGTGTATCTGTTTAGGTACTGTACATAGGATCTGTGCTTTATACATAAAAAAGTTATTTTTTTCCCCTACCTCTTTTCCCCAAAACAAGTATATGCCCTATTGGGGGTTATATCTCCTCTTTGGGAATAAACTCCAAAGATAGCCTGCTGGCATATGTCTTAAGATATAAAGCAAATGCTGTCTGGATCTCTTAGGAGATTTATGGTAGGTCTCTTAATTCATTCCCCAGAAGAAACATATCTGATTTTCTGGAGGTCATTTATCTAACATCCTCAACTGTCTGGGACTTAACCACAACCCCCAGAATAAGAAAAAAAAAGGCCATCAAAATAGACGTTTCACAGCCTGTGCATTGGCTCTACTTTCCTCATGGGGGACCCTAGGCAGTCATGTTGGGCCCATTCATTCTTTTTATAGGTATAAAGCTCTTATGGATGTTTGTCTCTCTTCCTGAGTCAGAGCACAGCAAAAGCCACAGATTACAAGATGATAAAGTGTGTGGGCTGCCATAGGCAGGCATGCAGATATCAGGAGGAAGCAAAAGCTAACCGTGAAGGAAGAGGGAAAAACTGAACCATATGAGTTTGAGATCATTAGTGCAGAAGCAGATAGGCCCCCAAACTGCACATCCTTGAGAGTATTGCTCACTGTTTCATGGAAAATTTTTAATGACATAAAGCACTCTTCTAGAAGCTCTCAGCAAACATTAAACACCTACCATGTAACACAGACTTTGAATACAATGATTAGCAAGATGCAACTACTCTGTTAGTGTTTTTTCCCAAGACATGTTTTAGATTTTCATGAGAAACGATACTATTAAGATGACGTTGGTACAGGAGTTGGACCTGTGGACTAGTTCCTTGAACATCAATGTTTGATGATAAAGAACATTACTGTATACAGGAACTTTGTGTTTTCTTAGTATTGTCTTTTAAGGAACATTACATCTTACTGGGTTAGCTGGATGAAGCTATCTTGTGTAATTCACATGAGAATTCTTTGTCAACTACTTGTTCCTTCTGCTTTTCTCTGACCACAGACTTCTTACATGTCAGTTTTTCTCCAGCTTACCAACCTTTCCTGCAAGAGAAGAACAGGGGATGGTTCACTCAGTCACTGCCAACCTCCATAAGCACAAAAGCACACTTTTGTGTGCTTTGTGTTGTTCAGCAGCCAGTGGAGAAGCCCTCCTTAAGTATTTGTGAGCTTTTCCAAATATGCATCACTTTGACTCCTAATGGTCAAAAGTTGGCTCTTTTTTCTTGCGCTTTCAACCTTCATAGTGCTCTACACATGGGAAACTAATTTGATGACAATGTTATTTAATACTTGTTAGAGTTTGGCATGTGTGTAAAAAAATAAAAAAATATCCATCTCTCAGCTTTTTTTCATCAAGTTATATTTTGTTTTGTTTTGTTTTTTAATCTGGGAAGAAATTTTAACCTGTTTCTCCCTTTCTGTTGTTGTTGTTGTTCTACATTACTAACTCAGAATTTATTTACAGGTTGTGAAAAAGAGTAGTTCCACAGGTTGGACCAGAACATTCTTACCTAAAACCGAAGTTGGATAATAAAGAATTAATTAAATTAACTTTCTTTAGGCAACCAAGAGTTTAATGCAGTTTTATTTATAGGGAGAGACAGAAAATAAAAATGAGATAAAACGCTGCTTGCTAGGTCTAAATCTGTTCTAGAATTAAATTTCTGGGCTCCATTGAACATGGTCACTAACTGTGCCTTTCTACAACATTTGTTTCAGTTTCTTATAACAACCTTGCCAAATATATTAGCGAGATATAGGAGGATAATAGGATTTCTATAGCTTAAATTGCTTTTTGCTTATTCTAAAATAAATGTCTTTATAAAGCTAGTTTTTCAAACCCTGATTAATGACGTAGATCAGGACTCAATATCTATTTTTGGTGTGCTTTACCCAGCTTTTCATTTACTGCAGTGAGCAAAACCTAGTATCTTGATACCACATCAGACTAACCAGGAAATAACATGGTATTTAATATACAATACATCTGTAAGAATCTTGTTTTTCTTACAACTTAAACTGGTAGGTGACTTGGCCCACTGACTGGAGCATGCATGCTATATCCTCTTAAAGAGTAAAAAATACCAACCCATTCCTAAAATATTCAGTTATATATTTGTGTGCTTTTGGAGTTAGTAGAAGATAACCATTAACAGAAACATTTATTTTCATTACCCAGGGGTGACACTGATCGTTGATGTCAATCAGTGTTTGGAGGGGGAAAAATCAAATGATATTTTGTCTGTATTGAAATCTTCTGCTTACGCACACGACATAATCCCCGAATGTGCTGACAGATACTATGATGCCCTTATGAAAGCAAAAGAGAGCAAATCTGAATATGGTAAGCTTTTTAATTACTTAGCACAAATTAAGTGTCATTTAAAATGTTATAGTTTCTGTGGTATTGTATTAATTTTAAGACAAGTATTGCTTTCAAATCAACATTCTTAGATTTTTTTTTTTTTGGTGGGAGAAGCTATGATTAAGTTTAGCAATACATGGGTGATGGCATCATAGAATTGAGAACATCGTATTTGAGATTTATTTTTTTTGAATGGAGAACATATAGTACTTCAGATTTTTTTGCCTTATATTTTGTATTTGATTGTTGTTCAGATTTTTATATTAATCAATTCTATCATTTAATCCTTTGTGAGAAAGATGGTACATAATTGCACAACATTTCAGTGGAGGATATTAAGTAGTAATGGATAAACAATATAAGACACAGCCAGACAATAGAATATTATCAGCCAAAAAAGGACTGAAGAACCAATACCTGCTACAACATGGATGAACTTTGAAAACAGTATGCTTAGTTAAAAAAAAAAAAAGTCAGATAAAAAAGGCCACCAACAGTTGAACAGCTATCTGATTGCACACTTCAAGAGGTACATCTTTCTTCCTAGGCACTGACAAAGGCATTTTAAAAACAACAACAACAACCCCCCAAAAAGGCACATATTAACATGACTTAAAGTTACGTCTGCTTAGTCATTTGAATGCATTTAAATAGTTATGGAGATAGTCACTTGGACTTGATTTACTTATAAAGATAGTGAGTCTAAAGCTCACTTGTTAACAATTGACTTAGACTAAGCTCAGTCAAAGAACATTTAAGCTTTTGTTGTTGTTATTTTTAGTTCTCTGGTCTAAAATAAAGATTTCTAAATATGAAGTGTAGCCCATAGATTCATTTGGAAGCATCATTCTTCTTGACCAATTTAAGCCATGACCACCATAGATTTTTCTAGTATGCTCCTAACCCAAATGAAGTGCTTTCGGCATTTTTTTTTTCTCATTTTGTGTGTTTGTAGAGCAATATGACTCAGAGGAATTAGGATCTTTCTTTTTCCTCACTTTAGTTGAGCTTTGTGGTGTGTATTTGCCTTCATACTTTGGATAAATTTGTCTCCAAAGACAGCTCACTTCTGCTTGGGTCCAATGCAGATCACTGTCCCCCAACCCAAACGTGGGTCCCTTCTTTTAGGAGAAATTGTTGGAAGACTGAGCTAAGAAGATCTTGCTCATTGATCTCCTCTGTCTACTTGTAATATTGTTCACATCTACCTGGGGCACAGATTCTTTGTTTGCTTTTCCTTCTCATTGACAATATTTTATATTGAAGAAACTACACTAATGTTCAAGGTGTAGTAAACATGTAGTTTACATGTTTAACGTAGTAATGAAATACACTAATGTTCCTTTGTAGAATTTAACAAACATTTTTTCTTTAGCTTCTAGTGATGGCTCATGGTTCAAACTCAATCTGCATGATAAATATGATTACTATTACAACATTGATTCTCAAGAGAGTTCTTGGGGGCCACCTGAATCATATGTGCTGAAACAGTCATGGATCATGGGAAAAGAAATTGAGGTAGGAGACTGCTTTTTGATGGCAACCTATTTGGTATAAAGATAAGTGTGATAGCTTTTCTATTTTTGTTTTGTGAAAACGATGGAAGGAACTAATTGGTTTATTTGAAGGCTTGGCATGGAATAAAATCTTCAGGTAATGCATTGAATGTGGCTGCATTTGTTACTCTAGCAATTTTGTTTTTTAATTCCTCAGTGGCATTAACAAAACCAAAAAGAATGGGCAAGAAAGCTTTTGCAGTTTATTTGGTGTGGTAGATTATTCTAGAAAAATCAGTCTTCCATGACATAGTTCAACTAGTTATAATTTCCAGCTTGTCAGTATTCAAAATGTCTTATCCTCCCACACCCCACCCTACCCCACCACCACCACCATAGCCTACAATGTAACATGATATCTTTCCCACCAAAATGTGACTTTTTCTCCACAGTGCTGGAGAAGGCGTCTTTGCCACAGATGATCCCAGCCATCTCCAGGCTGGCTTTAGGAAAGGACAGAATGAGTAAACTTTAAATGTTTGCTTCATTTTAATATATTTTCAATATTTAATGTAATTTCTGAAGCTTTTGATGTGCTCATACCCAAATGTAAATGGAAATAACCCAACCAAGTGTATTGTATACATTTAATTAACTGAGATAAAAATTAGCCATTTCCCCATTTGTTATACTAACCAAAGGTTAAACATATCACAGTGAGTCAGAATTTAAATTAACCTCTGAAGATCCCCTTTTAAGGGGACAGATGGATAATATTACATTAAAAAACACCCAACAAAATACAAATTAATAGATGAGCAAAAGGAAGTATAGTATAGTAGAGGAAGAAGAATGGGGAGAGGGTGGGAGGGAAAGAGGGGGATCATGGACTGAAATCAATTTCCATGCAGGTATGAGTTTGTTAGGATGAACCCAACTACTATGTATAATCAGAAAGCTCTAGTTAAATAAAATAAATAAATAAAATATAATTTTTAAATCCCCCTTTTAATGACTCATTGGCCCATATTTGAAAGTTTTTGTCTGCAGATTTTACTTACCAAAAGCATTTATCCATTCCTTCCCATCCCATTTTAACCAAAGACATATATAAATAGTACCTATCTAAGCTTCTTGTTAGGAACAAAGAAATAATGCATTAATTGACATATATAATATCTTTATTGACTATTAGGACCTGTGGTGTGTTAAAATACAGAAAAAAGAAACCCACTTAGAAGAGTCTGTTAGGATCACTTGGTCAAAGGCCATTTCTCATTATATACAATACTGGCCTAAGTCTCAGGGGACCTGTGAATTTCTCTCCATCTGACTTGTACATTGTGTTCCACATGATGCAGCAGTTTTTAGTGCAAGAACTCAGGGCTGAGTATTTACAAAGAAAGATGATAAACAACTTATGAGCAAAACTGTAAGAAAAAGTAGGGCAAATGAGCTCTTTCTGGTCTCAGTTCTAGGTCATGTAATTTCATTCTTTTTTTTTTTTTTAGTTCTTTCTTCTTTGTAAAGGAATGAAAGGAGCAGCTTAGCAACAGATTGATTTCTTTGTGACCATAGCTTTATTAGATCTGAATATTTTTTATAACATGGAAATAACACTAGATGCCTCATAAAAGTTTCCTAAAATGAAAAGGAACTTAATCTGAAAGCAGATTATAGGGTGGATCATACCAGAAAAGCCACCTTTGGGAAGCCCTTTGTTTTGAGGGAGGTTGGTGGTGGGAGACCATGAAGAAAACAGAGGCATTAAATTGGAGGGCTGTGAATTTGGACTCAATACTTATGAAAAGATTTGTGTAATAAGTTTTGGCCACAAGTAATCTTAACTGGTATGCCTACAAATACCCCCAAGATATGTAGCTCTACAAATAAGATCTCTGAAACCACAAACATAGCCAAATGCCCTTGGTTAACATGGAGTTTCACTTTCCAGCATATGTTCACATCAGTTTGATCCCCAAATCATTCTCCAAGAGGAGACAGAATAAATATCATCTTCCATTTCTCTGAGTGAGGAAATGGAGGTGCAGAGTGGATAAAGCAACATCTACTAGTTGTGCACTTTACACAGAATCCATCAATAAACTGTTTATGCCCCATGCTCCTAATTTCTAATCTACAGTCTTTTCCATTGTTCCACTGTTGGTGTTTTTTGACACAACCATCAGCATCTCTGAGGGTCATATGTATCCATTCCTGTGGAATTAATAACACAAGATGCAAATCAAGAACTAGATGTTTTTCTAACATAGAAACATAGGTCCTATATAAAGTGAGTAATGGTTCCCTGGGGAAATTCTCTTGAAGGAATGTTCACCAAGATTGCTTTGAACTTAAGACTTAAAGTTGGACCCCAAAAGTATGGAAATTACTGATGGATCCAGGCATTGTAATATGTTTAAAGAGAAAATACTGATACTAATCATGTTCAATCTTCAAGAAGAAAAAAATAGAATACACAAATATAGATCTCATTGTATCATTAGAAGTCAATAACATCAGATACCACAATGTAGCCATATGTGCTAAAAAAAGGAAAACTGTGGCCTTTGTCAAACAACAATAAATGACAAAAATTTTAAATGATAAGAAGAGACTGAAGAACATAGTTTTTAAGCTAATTCCAGATTTTCAAAGTTCTTAAGTTTTTATTGAAGCAATGGATTGTTAGTGCTAATTTTTTGAAAAAAAAATCAGATTATGGAAAATACTAAAAAATATTTATGCCATGATTGAAAAGATGTACCAGACTGTGAAGAAAGCAGCATTGAAGAATTAAAATTCAGAATCAAAAATTGCTCATGTGAGGCCGAACATGGTGGCACATGCCTATAATCCCAGCGGCTCAGAAGGCTAAGACAGGAGGACCTCAAATTCAAAGCCAGCCTCAGCAACAGTGAGGTGCTAAGCAACTCAGACCCTGTCTCTAATAAAAATATAAAATTGGGCTGGGGATGTGGCTCAGGGGTTGAGTGTCCCTGAGTTCAGTCCCCAGTACAAAAAAGAAAAAAAAAATTGCACATGTGGCATCCAAAGATGCTTCCAGTATAACTTTTTGTTACATTGTGCATCATCAGTCTATTAGGTGGAGGGGCTCACCCTGTGGGATTGTTGTTGTTGTTTTTTAATGAATTTTTTTCTGAATAACCCAAAGTCACTGATTTTATTTAATGAATTGTGTGTGTGTGTGTGTGTGTGTGTGTGTGTATACATATTTTTGAATGATTTCACTTTTAGCTATTTAAATTAACCAACTATTGGTTCCAAATGCACTGGATAAGTCTTCAGTCGTAGAAGTGAATCCAGTCTTGGCTTGAATTTCTCAATGAACAAAAAAGTAAACCCAATTCATAGGCAATATAAACTTGTCATAATCCCCCTTCTTCCTTTTTTCCTCATTCCTTTAGATTTCCTCTGTTTGGCCATGTTACAAGTGCTTATCTTTCCTCTTCCACCCCTTTTCTTTCTGCTCCAAGTATTTTATTTGTCCCTGAGCACCACTTTGAGTTTCCCCAACTCACTGCAGGGCTTTCCCTGCTCTATCCTGGCAAGAAAGGAGAAAGGGAAGCCTGAGGACTTTGTGGGCATGGAGCTCTTTTCCTCAGCAGCCAGAGGAAGAGATGAGGTGATGCATGTTCTTATGGTCGTCATCCTTGTCCCTTTTATGTTCTGTGGAGCTCGTGCTTCACACGTGGTTCTTGTTAGCATCATCTGTACATCTCTGTCTCCAAAGCCCAAGGTCATCCAACCACCATCTCATGCTACCTCAGCACCAATCTCAGAGGATTCCAAAATTATGACTCTAGAAAGAAGCCAAGCCACTTCATCCCTTGGCTCTGGTTAAATCTGTTTTTAGACCAAGCCAAAAAGAACAATCTAGATCATTTTCTAAAAGATACCATTTCCACAGGCTATTCTGTATGTCCTTTCACCTGATGTGTGAAGTGTAACCATAAGAAATATCTCTTGCCAGGACATCATTGAGGAAATCACTGTAAATTACATCCGTGAGAAGATGTGGTCTACTTCAGAAGATTTGTTTCTTCACCTTAAAGGAAGTTCAGGATCCCTCCTTAGGGAAGAGTTTGAAGCTAGGAAATCTTTTTTGTATGAACAAGAAGCAAATGTGATCAAAATACAGGTATGTGACTCACCTACCACTGGTTAACAATAAACTGTCCTTTCCCCTGAAAATGATTTCTTTGAAAACAGGAGAGTCTACTATGAGCCTTCTAATAAACAACTCGGACTGCAGATCTTTAGCTAATCAATGACCCCCTCATCTACTTTAGTTAGACTTTCAAAGGGGAAATATTTTGATGATTGACTTTTAACTTGTGGCTTTATGGAGAGTATTTTGGGGCACTGTAGACTTGCCCAGATCCACCTGCCACCAACCAGGTTGGAGCCAAAGGGACGCCTCAGATCAAAGTTGAAAACACGCTTTTCTAAAATGCTGGCTTTGTATATGCCACCTTTTACCCAACTTTGGGTTTTCGTGGTAGATGGATATTGAATGTCATCAAGCTTCTTCTAGCCTGAAAGAACAGAAGAACTGAGTTAGCATCCCCGAGAGAATCTCTTCTCCCTTGTATAATCTGTCACTCTTCACTTAGGCTTGCAGGACAAATCCTCATTCCCCAGTTCATTGTTGTTGATGTTGTTGTAAGTGATACATATAAACCTGCATGACTTGTGGAACTTTCTGGTTGGGAAGAGAGGTATTTGCCAGACTGTGTTTCCCTGGTGCCCTCTACCAACCATCACAATGCCTTCCAAAAGACTGTGTGTTTGTCCTTTTTTCATGAGTCTAGTGTGATACTGTTATTGACTGAGTTTGATGGGTTTTTGCTTTGGCCAATTAACTATGAAATTTCCTAAATTGAAAGTTTTCCATTGTAGAGCTTCTCTTGTGTGGCTTATCATTGAGCTCATCTACTTTCCCCGCTTAAGTGTAATGTCATTCCGGGAAGAAAAAAAGTTTTACGAATATTTGTCTTCTTGTGTCTTGTATATGATAGATACTCAAGTGTTTGAATTTGCCCAAGATGTTATCAAGGCAGAAATGAATTTTTCAAAGAAATTTCTGCTAAAACCTGACATTCAAGGGATTTTTCTAGGTGAGCCAATGAGTTTTCTAGTTATTCCTTATTTTCATAAATGGTTAGTCAAAACACACAGGATATGAACATAATCCTAAAAAATAAAAAATATAAAAATAAAAAATTTGCAATGATGCTATATTGATGCTAAGATTTCTACAAAATTCAGAGTATGAGCTGATATGATACAATTTGGACCAATCCATGCTCTCCAATGTTGAGATGTGGGCCAGTGTCACAATTGGGAGACATAATGAAAAGCCCATCAGTATAGAATCCCCCTAGTATTCAAACCCAGGGCTGAAGTCATGAGCAGGCTGGGGAAGGAAAGAAACAGTCATTTGGAGTCATGTTCCTCCACCTCAGCAGAGGAGCAGGATTGAAGAAGAAGCCATCCAACTCTGAATTCACCCCACCATGCCTTCTTTACATTTTTCTGGCAGTTTATTAACAAGGTCCAAAGGTAAATTAGTTTCACAGATGAGAACCAGAAGTAAATGTGCTGTCCTGTAATTCAACCCACAAAACCATAAGACCATGAACCAAAGGGTGTCGTGCTTATTTCATTTCTCACCAAAGTGGCTTTTCATCCTGAACTAGAGAAATGTTCTAATATCTGAGGACTTCCTTTGCGTAAAACAGCTCAATCTTTCTAGCTTGCTGAATTGGCCCCAGACAATTAGTCTCCACAAATTTGGAAAGAAAGTTTATAGCACAGACCAGCCATACCAAGGATCCATCACCCTGTGCCATCCTCAGTTTTCTACAAAGGAACTGAAGAGTGGTAAAGAGAATGTGTATAATCCCCATCCAATGCTGTGTCTCAAATGCTTATGAAATGAATTAGAAGGTGCCCAGGTCAACACAGAAGGAAGTCAAGAAAGGAGACTCTAAATAGCCATATTATCTTCGAGGAGATAGAAGGCCTTGATAAAATTCTGTAAGTTTGGAAATAAGTGAGAAAAATATCTTATAAATAAGAACAAAAACTTTATATCAAAAACAGACAAAGGAGTATGACCTGTAAAAATATAAATGAAGTATATATCTAAGGTTGTTCTTCCAGAAGCCAGAAGAAAATTGTATACTGAAACTGCTTATAAATTCCTGCTCAAGGAAGTTAATAAGACATGGAGTTAATGAAACAAGATAAGACCACAGAATAAAGTGAAAAGACAACTGACAACCATGGAAACTGAGAAATAATGACATCATAGGATATAAATGAATCTAAAACTGCAGAATACAAAATGGACACTGAAATACTTGAAACAGACCTGTAGAGCTTGAAAATATGTACCAAAAGCTGGCCAAAAGAATGAATTATTTTAAATGCATTTTCTCATACAGATGTTATAATGCCCATTGTATTGTGGGATTGTGAGGATTGGGTGGAATAATTCACATAGCAGACACTCCCCAGCATGTTGTTCTTTAATGCTCAATACGATTAGGTGATAGAGATGATGACTTTGGATGACAGAGAGTGGGGATCCAATTCTGAGATCATTGGTGTGGCATAGGAGGAAATGAGAAAAAAATATGTAACTACAGGAAGAAAGTTCCCCACTCCCCTTGAAATGAAGAGAGCATGAATACCACTTCTGGTAAGGATGCAATAGTGATAGACTCCAAAACTTGGACCGAGGAGTTACTGAATTATTGAACTAAAGGTCAAGGAGTGCTGCAAGCATCTATGCAGAGAAAAAGAAATGGCTTATGTGAATCAACTCCAGATTGCCAGTAGTAGCAGAGTCTGAGGGCTGGAAGGAAGTAGGGGAGGACCTCACTGGGGAGTTGATCATCACATTATTTTCAGAGAATCTATCCCTGTAAACTGATGAATTTTACTTTTGAGGAGAAAGGGAGAAGAGGAAAATGTTTAGGACTCCCTTGGCTGACCAACATTGGGTGAGAATTTGTGCTTTAGGATTTGATTTTGGTAATTTGAATATGACTGTACTGGGTGACCAGTTATCAGGTAAGGCAACCAATTCAGCAAACCAGATTTTCCAGATTAACAGTGAAAATCTATAAAACTTAGTAATAACCTCTGAGGTCTAGGTAGTTTGAAAGACTTCATTATTACATATGCACTACACAGAAAATATATTTACAGTACCACAAAACAGAACAAATAAAATGGCCAATATAACATTTCCCACAAGTGCTCAGAATAGGATAGAGATAGATAGATAGAAGAATTTTTTTCTTTTTTGGTACCAGGGATTGAACCTAGGTACACTTACCCTGAGTTAAGTGCATCCCCAGTCCTTTTGATTTTTTTATTTTGAGACAGGGTCTCACACCAAGTTGCTTAGGGCCTCACTAAGTTGCTGAGACTGACTGAATTTGAGATCCTCCTGCCTCAACCTCCCAAGATTCTGGGATTATAGGCATGCACTAGTACACCTGACTCTGAGCAAATTCTAAACAGCATGAACCCAAAGAAAATTACATCAAGACAGACCATAACCAAACTCCAAAAAACAAAAGATAAAAGTTCTCAGTGACTGGAGAGTCTGAGGCAGGAGTATCACAAGTTTGAGGCCAGTCTGGATAACTTAGCAAGTCCTGGTCTCAAAATAAAATGAAAAGGGCTGGTGGTGTAGTTCAGCGGTTCAATCCCCATTACCAAAACAAAATAAAATCTTGAAAGCAGCAGACAGAAAGGACAGTTTACCTAGGAGGAAGACAACTCTGTGACAGGATTTTTCATAAGAACTTCAGACATCCAGAAGGAAGTGAGTGGTATCACAGTTTTCAAGTGCTGAAAGAGAAGAACTATCAACAAAGAATTCTATATCCAGAAAAATATCCTTTAGGAATGAAGAGGAAACTAGAGAGTTTGTCTCCAGCAAACCTGCCCTAAAGGAATTCTGGAACATGGTGGTGGGTGCAGGGGCGGGGGTGGGGGGGGGGGGGGGGGGATATCTTGGAAAGCTTCCTATTCCTCCAGATGCAAAACACTTTCCTGGTTAGTAATGTGCCCACTTCCCTTTCACCTGTTGTGTTCATCCCTTGGTTTGAGTGCAATACAGTTCTGTATGTAGCTGTATTAATAATTTAATTTAAAAAATGAGAAACAATATGTAAATAAGAGGGGAAATACTGTATATCTACATATCAAATAATCATAAAAATGTTTTCAAACCCCCCCCCAAAAAGAAAGTATATTTGTGGGCTGGGGATATAGCTCAGTTGATAGTGCTTGCCTCATATGCACAAGGCCCTGGGTTCAATTCCCAGCACACAAATACACACACAAAGAATATTTGTAAGATGTTACCATTGGGTAAGCTGGGTGAAGGGTATATGGAACTCAATATATTATTTTTTGCAGCTTTATGTGAATCAATTTTTAATTAATTTTTTAAAGCATAATTGTCATTTCTAGGGATGCAAATCATGGGGAAAGTCCGGAATAAGCGCTCTGTTAATCATTTTGATTCAATTCTGACTTTTTCATTTTGAGTCTTTACAAAGACTATATTATTTTTGAAATAATAAAATTCCACATACATTTTTTAAATTATTTATTTATTCTAATTTATTATACATGGTGGCAGAATGCAATTCATTTCATATTACACATATGAGGCACAATTTTTCAAGTCATTGGTTGTACACAAAGTATTTTCACACCATTCGTATTTTCATACATGAACTTAGGATAATGATGTCTAACCATTCCACAGTCATTCCTGCCCCCTTGCCTGCTCCCTTCCCCTCCCTCCCCTTTTCCCTATCTAAAGTTCCTACACTCCTCCCATCCCCCTCCTCATCACCATTGTGAGTCAGCATCCTCATATCAAAGAAAACATCCAGCCTTTGGTTTTTTGGGATTGGCTTACTTCACATAGCATTATATTCTCCAACTCCACCCATTTACTTGCAAATGCCATGATTTTATTCTCTCTGAGTAATGTTCTATTGTGTATATATACCAAAGTTTCCCTATCTACTCATCTACTGAAGGGCATCTAGGTTGGCTCCACAGTTTAGCTATTGTGAATTGTGCTGCTATAAACATTAATGTGGCTGTGTCCGTGTATTATGCTGTTTTTAAGCCCTTTGGGTCTAAAACGAAGAGTGGGATAGCTGGGTCAAATGGTGGTTACATTTTCAGTTTTTCAAGGAATCTCCATACTGCTTTCCAGATTGGCTGCACCAATTTGGAGTCCCACCAACAATGTATGAGTGTGCCATTTCCCCCACATCCTCGCCAACATTTATTTTTGTTCACATTCTTGATAGCTGCCATTCTGACTGGAGTGAGATGAAATCTTGAGTAGTTTTGATTTGCATTTCTCTAATTGCTAGAGATGTTGAACATTTTTTTCATATATCTGTTGATTGGTTGTATATCATCTTCTGTTCAGTTCCTTGGCCCATTTATTGATTGGGTTTTGTTGTTGTTGTTGTTTTTGATGTTAAGGATTTTTAGTGCTTTATATATCCTAGAGATTAGTGCTCTGAAGTGCTTGTGGTAAAGATTTGTTCCCATTCTGTAGGCTCTCTATTCACCTCATTGATTATTTCTTTTGCTGAGAAGCTTTTTAGTTTGAATCCATCCCATTTATTGATTCTTGGTTTTAATTCTTGTACTATATGAGTCTTATTAAGGAAGTTTGAGCCTAATCCCACATGATGGAGATTAGGGCCTACTTTTTCTTCTATTAGGCACAAGGTCTCTGGTTTAATTCCTAGGTCCTTGATCCACTTTGAGTTAAGTTTTGTGCATGGTGAGAGATAGGGGTTAAATTTCATTTTGTTGCCTATGGATTTCCAGTTTTCCCAGCACCATTTATTGCAGAGGCTGTCTTTTCTCCAGTGTACATTTTTGGCACCTTTGTCTAACATAAGATAACTGTAATTATGTGGGTTGGTCTCTTTGTCCTCTATTCTGTACCATTGGTCTACAGGTCTATTTTGGTGCCAATACCATGCTGTTTTTGTTACTATTGCTCTGTAGTATAGTTTAAGGTCTGGAATAGTGATGTCACCTGCTTCACTCTTCTTGCTAAGGATCGCTTTGGCTATTCTGGATCTCTTGTTTTTCCAGATAAATTTCATGATTGCTTTTTCTATTTCAATGAGGAATGTCATTGGGATTTTGATTGGGATTGCATTAAATCTGTATAGTGCTTTTGGTAGTAAGGTCATTTTGACAATATTAATTCTGCCTATCCAAGAGCTATGTAGATCTTTCCATCTTCTAAAGTCTTCTTAAATTTCTTTCTTTAGCGTGCTGTAGTTTTCATTGTAGCAGTCTTTCACCACTTAATCATTAAGTTTTTATTCCCAAGTATTTTTTTTAAGCTATTGTAAATGGGATGGTTTTCCTAGTTTCTTTTTCTGAGGATTTGTCACTGATATAAAGAAATACCTTTGATTTATGGGTGATGATTTTATATCCAGATACTTTGCTGAATCCATTTACTAGTTCTAGAAGATTTCTGTTGGAACTTTTTGGGTCTTCTAGGTATAGAATCATATTGTCAGCAAATAGGGCTAAAGGTCTTCTTTTCCTATGCATATTCCTTTAATCTTTTGTCTGTCTGATTGCTCGGGCTAGAGTTTCAAGAACTATGTTAAATAGAAGTGGTGAAAGTGGGCATCCCTGTCTTGTTTCAGTTTTTAGAGGGAATACTTTCAATTTTTCTCCATTTAGAATGATGTTGGCCTGGGGTTTAGCATAGATAGCCTTTACAATTTTGAGGTATGTTCCCGATATCCCTAGATTTTCTAGCGTTTTGAACATGAAGGGATGATGTATTTTGCTAAATGCTTTCTCTGCATCTATTGAGATGATCTTATGATTTTTATCTTTGAGTCTATTGAGTGATGAATTACATTTATTGATTTCCATCCACCTACACTTTTTAAAACAATGAGGAAGGTAGATTGATATATGCAGACATGAAAAGAAATTGACAAAAATAATTCGACTATTGTTTTTATACCTTTTATTGTATTTAATTTCTAATTTGAAGACAAGATCAGAGAGTTGGGGTGAGTTTCAAATGTACTTTAATAAAAAGTCCTCAAGATGAATTGGAAGAAACTAATGACAATTATACATTTAATTATTCTAATGATAACAGTTTATATCCAATTTTCAGAAATGTTTCCTATAAAAATTCTCATTATTATAATAACCAAGTAAAGATATTTTAATTGGGGCTGAGGTTGTAACTCAGTGGTAGAGCGCTTGCCTCACATGTGTGAGGCATTGGGTTCGATCCTCAGCACCACTTAAAAATAAATAAAATAAAGATATTGTGTCCATCTACAATTTTTAAAAAAAGATATTTTAATTGAAGCATCATTAACTTTTCTGTAGGAATACATAAAATAATAAATGGCTAAATTAATAGCACTCATGTTTTCAGGGAGTCAGGGTCATAAGTTAGTGGCGTGTCTTTCTTTTCAATCTGGGCTATGGTGAACCAATCACTGGAGTAACGATACTTATTAGTCACTATTTTTAAGCATTTTATGTTGTTAACAAATATAACACTAGCACCTGTGTGTTTGGGGGTAATTCTACTTTATTAGTGCATCACCCCAGACCCTTGGTAAAATAAGCTTTCAAGCAGGGAAAGCTTTCAACCCCCATTATTCCTTTCCCATCTTGGGACAAATCTCAGCCATGAGCTGGTATTCTCTGCCCCAGTTAAATGTCAACCCCTGGAGATGGTATCCTGGTTAAATTTAGAAGGGAGAGACCCTGATGGTGTCCCAACTCAGTGCTTCCTGAGATGTGTCTGTGCTTACATTTTAGTCAACTGTGGGAAACTCACTCATCAATAACTCATAACTCACTCTTTTCCTTAGGCTTTTTGGAAGGGACATAAACAACAGAAGGCATACACAGCCAGGCGAAAAATGTTCGTTGACAATATTAATTCTATTGTGAAGGTAAATATCCTTTCCCACCATATCAAGTGCTTGGCTTTAACCTTTCCCCTCACTTTGTTTTGATTTTGATTTATACAGAGTTGCAGAAAGGGTAAGTGTGAGTCTCGAAGTCAGTCCTGGGTTTAAATCCCAATTCTGCTACTCATTTAGACTGATCATCTTCAGTCAGTTCAATTGAACCACTACAATTAGTTCATTTATGTGGTTTTGAGAATCATGTGAAAGTGATTCTATAACCAGTAAATGTTCTCAATTTGTCTAGAAAGTCTAAATTGATTATTTAAACTCCAGTAATCTAAATTGATTATTTAAACTTCAATAATCTAAATTGATTATTTAAATTGATTATTTAAACCCAGCCTTAGTTCATGTGCCTCTTCTTACATTTGCTAATAATATTTAGAATGCTCAAACATACCAGTAGAAAGAAAACCTTAATTATAAGGCAAATGCAAAACCAATGACAAAAGGAATTAGAGCTAATTTAAGATATGTAATTGAATGTTGAACCAGGATAACTCAGTTTTCTACCCAGGCAGATAGTTCTGAGCTCTAGAGCAAGCAAAGGCACTGTGGTCACTGCACTCAGAGAGCTGAAAGCCAAAAGACTGTAAAAAATGAGGTTGTAGATAACTTGAAAGTCCCAGATGAGATTAGAACAGCAGAGCTGGATAGAAGCTGGAATCAGATGAGATTCATTTAACTAAATATTTTAGATGGTAAAGTCAGAGAATGACATGGTCTACATTCATTGTACATTACCTCCTGAACCAAATAATGCTATGTGTTCAGTGGGGTGAATATGCCCATTCCTTCAGAAAACTGTTGGTAGCAATTGGTTCCTCTGAGATCTCTTGAGATATTTTCCTGTAGACATCTAAAGGATATTGCTTGCATTTAAAGGGATGATGATGAAAATCCTGGACTTGGATTAATTTGATTCCCTGACTCATTGCAACTCTCACCAAAATGCCTTCTCTCTTGGCTTTTATTTAAGATTAAAAGAAAATAGCAAAAAGCTACATCTCTCTCCACCTCCCTCCCATTAAGGAAGTGGGATGAAAGTTAACAAGGTGTTTTGAACCTCCCGAGAAAAGTGGTGAAAGAAATGGGAAGTGAAGGGCAGGCTTTAGGTATTACTTAGCAGTCTGTTCATTTTTTATCAGATGAGGTATCAATATTTTTAGAAAGATTGTGTAAAATTATATTAAAGCATTGTTTGGTGATCACTTTGATTCCTCCATTTTACTTAATTTTAGATTCAGTCCTGGTTCCGAATGGCAAAAGCAAGAAAGAGCTACGTTAAACGACTACAGTATTTCGTGGATCATGTAAGAGAAGTGCATGCGGGTTTTTAACTGGATTGAAAATGAACTAAAAGAATGTTTATTGAATGTTGGTTAGCACTGAATGATTTTTATTAAATGATGCTAATGACCACTTAGGAAAAATTAGGTGGTAGAGCCTAATGCGTCATTATTTGGAAGTTTACATTTTTTATTGAGAAGTTATACTGAGAGTATGATTTCATTAGTCAGGAGTGGAGAGTAAGAAGAAAACAGTGTGGGATAGTGATAGGAGAGAAGATTCTAGAGAAGTATTTTCCAGCACTTGCATGTACAGTTTTCTAACTATTCACTGATTAAATTGAAACCCATTGGAGAAATTTTTTTCAGAATCTTTAAATAGATGTGTGAGCAGAGATTGAATCATCAAAGTTCTATGCTGAAGTCTGTTTCTCTTTTTTGATCTCTTTAAACAGTCCCCTTATAGTCTTGTTTATTCTGGAAGCTAACCTCTGTGACCCCTCTTCAAAAAAGAAGGAAACATAAATGTTAAACACACTGTGTCTAAGGATCACCAGTTCTAAACAGCATCAATTGTGATGTACTATTTGTTCTTAAAGTTCTAAGTTCTGAAGTCGTGGGGCAGATGGGACTCTGGGATCATGACTTGTCTCAATGTTTTTCAGAAAAATGAAATTGTGAAAATACAGTCCTTGTTGAGAGCAAGCAAAGCTAGAGATGACTACAAAACACTAGGTAAGTGAAACATTTAGAAACAGAGCCTGGATTCCTTATTAAACAGTGAAAACAAGTGTTTTCCAGCTTCAGTGGCTTCAGAGGCCACTCCAAGAACAGAGGATGATGCCATTGTATCCTGTAGATTGTGATCATCTCAGGCTCTGTGACAGGAATGGGCCTTCCTATTGTAAGTGGAAGGGATAAGCAGAGTGGGTGTGATTTCTTCCTCAAAAAGAATGGAGTTGGCATAAATGCTATTTTTATATTAAATTTTATTTTTATATTAAATGAACTAGATCAAGCATCTAAAGCAAAAGAATTAATCACAAGATAAGCCTACATTTAAACTGTTAAGTAGCTGGCTTATCAACCCCCTCCACATACACATACCTTACCTTAAAGATAAAACATATTCACATAAGAAATTCATGAGAATTAAAAAGAACAAGAAAAGAAAATCTCATCTCCCCAAGGTGATAATCACAAACATCTTTGTCCCATCTAGAAACTTAGATGACTCTATATTTGGTTGTTCATGCTGGGTTCATGCTGTAAATTATGTTATTGGTTTAACTCTTCTTATTCCCTAAGTGTCAAAAACACCACAGAATCAAGCCCGAAGTACAAGGACCACCTTCGAGGGCCCTAGGGGCTGTTCAAGTCATCTTTGTACTTCTGTGTCTTTCGTCCCAGTCAGTTTATTCTTATAATTAACCCAGAGTTGCTCTCACTAAAGCATATTTTAAAAGAATTTTTTTAAGAGTCAGCGTTCCGGGCAATTAAAGCCTCAAGTTAAAATTACTAAGGGAAACCCTCTTAGAATTTATATGAGAAACCTCTCTCCTAGTTACCGAGGTTGAACCCCTAGGTTCTGAGCATAGCCTCCCTTGGTCTGTACTAGAAAGACCAAGACCAACTTTCAATTTCTAAAATCTTTACTTTTGTCAAGTAGAACACTCATTCCTCTTATCATCACATTGATTCCTGTTTGTCCTTAACGGTCTTCCTTCACTCCCTTTCTAATTCAGCTTTCACCCAGTTTTGGCTCCTTCCCAAAGATCTTTTAGGCTGAGTTAACCACTTTCTGCTTCCTGCAGCAAGAACGTAAATCTCTTATCTGGCTCAGCCATAAGGCCTCAGAGCTGAGGTCACTTGCCTCAAGTTTCCCAGGTTCTTCATTGATAAGATGCAGATAGTACTGTCCTCTCAATGTGTGAGTTCTGGGAACAGTGTGACAGACAGTTGACAAATGAGTATTAGATAACTAGAAAATACTGGGCCAGACAGTATCCATTTTGTATATTTGTTTATAGGATTAGTTTCCTTGTCCAAATTTTTACATGATACAAAATGTTTTATTCCACAAGTACTTTTATTGATACATTTTTCTGGTAATCCTTTATTTATAGGCCTGCTTTCTTTCCTGTTGATAATAATTCCAAGCTTTCCTAATTAAAGTATTCTGTTCTTCTCCCTGCAGTTGGTTCTGAAAACCCACCATTAACAGTAATCCGCAAATTTGTGCACCTATTGGACCAAAGTGACTTGGATTTCCAGGAGGAGCTGGAGGTAGCACGATTAAGGGAAGAAGTAGTGACCAAGATCAGGGCCAATCAACAGCTGGAGAAAGACCTGAACTTGATGGACATCAAGATTGGACTCCTGGTGAAGAACAGGATCACACTAGAGGTCAGTGGGGCTCGAAAGACTGTTGGCTCTTAGGACAAAGAAGATGAACATGTTAATGCTCATGGCACTTTGGTCCAGCCAAGTTCACTTGTCATTTTTATTATTATAAGTTAATGGGTCACAGGACTACAAAATCCTCTGCCTCCTGTTTATGACATATTTTCCAAGATTATTTTACCATTTTGAAATGAAATTTACATATAATAAACTGTAGTTTCTTATGTGCTTTCATAAAAAACTAAAGCCTTTATATAAATATGAAATAAATAAAAATAAAATGATTCATAATGAAAAGCCCATATCTAAATGTGAAAATACACAAGCCTGATGACATTACAAGATATCATAAAGTTTTTAGGGGATTTGGCCTCTTCCCAGAATCACCAAAGATCAAAGATTGAGAGTACCACAGAGGAGAAAGATGCCCCAGTGACAGAACAGATGACACCTAATTTTCCAAAATGGAGAACAACACCTTAGAAACCTCAAAATAAATATGGTCTGCCCCCAATATACATAGCAGTTGCAGTCATAGAAAATCTAATGTATATTAAAATTTCTTGTGTAGAGTTGGGCATGGTAGTGCACACCTATAATCCCAGTGGCTCAGAAACCTGAGGCAGAAGGATCACGAGTTCAAAGTCAGCCTCAGCAATGGGGAGGTGCTAAGCAACTCAGTGAGACCCTGTCTCTAAATAAAACACAAAATAGAGCTGGGGATGTGGCTCAGTGATTGAGTGCCCCTGAGTTCAATCCCTGGTACCAAAAAATAATAATAATAATCTGTGTAGAGAAAATCCATTGTGCATATGTAAGTTCTGCCATGAAAAATGGGTGTGGGGTGATTATTTAAGCAGAATCACCCCACAAATTGCTGAACAATATATCATCTGTTATCTCTAGCATCCCACAGAAACCACAAGTGCCTTCTGATTCAGACATCCAAAATCACCCTACATATTTCCAAAATGTCCCTACAGAGTGAAACCACACCTATTAATAGCTTCTAAATAAGTAACGTTGTGGGCTTTGTATCTGCTGAAGCCTGCTCTCTAAACAGTATAAAAACAGTTATTTTTTACTGAAGAATGCATTTCTCGGGTATGACCTCTCTCCATGTCCCTGTTCCTTTCTGATATGCCAAATCAGTTTTCAGAAAACTAATAGTTCAAAGAGGACAGCTAACCTTCCAGAAGTTCAGAGAAAGCTACAGTGGGTTAAAGGTAGAAAGTAAGTGAGCAGCCGTAGGATACCTTGTCAAGTGGGCACACAAATGCCCCACCCTTGTCCTCCAGACCTCATGAAGATACCAGGGAAAGAGTCTAAGAGAAACTAAGAAAAACAGAGCAGGGTGAAAAAAAGGACATGATCATATTTTCTAAATATTCAAAAATAAAACTGCAATTTAAATGTTCTATATTTAACCCTATTTTCTTTATTTTATCCTGAAAAAACTGTAGTACTTCATTTATTTAAAAATCATAGATTTGTATTTGTTTGATTCACATAAAAAAAAACTTCTACAGTATAATATATTCTAGAAGGTCCTGGAGAAAATGCCTTTTATAGCCTTAAACTGCTGTTATACCCTGTCCCCATGATGTTGTAAACAGGAAATATCTTGCCTTTCTTATAGTTTAAAATAGTGTGTATCTTGAAGAAATACAACCATGGCAGAATTCTAGATCTCTCTGAATGTTTGCAGGTTTTTATTTTTTGTTTTTGTTTTGATTTTTAAAAAGGCATTTATTATTCACTTGATAGCACTATGAAACAAGATTAATTTTTCAAGCCAGGCACAGTGGGGTTTATCTCTAGTCCCAGTTACTCTGGAGGCTGAGGCAGGAGGATCAGTTGATTCCACCAGGGGTTCAAGTCCAGCCAGGGCCACACTGCAAAACTCTGTCTCAAACAAAATAAAAACATACACACACACATAAATAGGTAAAGTTAATTTTTTCAACTTACATTTTCAAACACCAAGTTTATATCCAATATTTATCAGAAATTAAATGATGATTATTTTAAATATGTTGTCTTTGATCTTAACATTGATGGTAGTATTTTTAATTTGATTTATGTATAAGATGACTAAAGTTTGCTTTATGGTACTACACAGGTGGGAAACAGCTTAATCAATAAATTGAGAACTATAGAATTTAACATGTAGGTTTTATAGCCACTAAAAATGTTTTTGAAGAATATTTAAGGACAGGTAAAAATGTTTTGCAATATATATAGAAAAGAAAATAGTACCTAAAATATTATGATTTCTTTTCTCTAGAAAAATTTACTGAAGAAAAGAAAAAAATTAAGTGATCATAAACAATGAAATTAATCTTCTTTATCTTCTCTTTCCCTTATTTCTCTTGGTTTTTTTTTTAATAGTAACAATGTGTTTAGTTAGAAAAAAAAAAAAATTTAAAGAGAAGTGGCTTAGTTCTTACAGATCTAAGCTCCCTCTTTAATACCCTTATAATTCCAGTTGTTGTTTTTTTAATTTGTTTTGCTGTATTGGGTACAGGGCCCTCTGCCACTGAGATACATTCCCATCCTTATTTATTTACGTGTGTGTGTGTGTGTGTGTGTGTGTGTGTGTGTGTTTTGAGACAGGGTCTCTAAGTTGCCCAGGATGGCCTTGAACTTTTGATCCTCTTGGCTCTGTCTCCCATATAATCCTTTTAAAAGAAGAATTTCTTCTGAAAATCTCAAATCAGCAGTTAGTGAAGTGACTGACATTTGTTTCAGACAAAAAGAACATCTTGGAGAACACAAAGCAATTGAAGTCAAGTTTCTTAAAGGCATAAGAGGGAAAGAATAAGTATAAATTCAGATGAGATTAATATAGAAACTAAAAGTAAATCTTTCAGTGTTATCTCTAGTCAAGAGTTTGCTATATCATGCAACAGCCCAGATTTGCAGACCAGTACCTCCTGCAACTCAGGATTGAGATTTCTTTTACTTACCTAATTATACCATTTCACTATTTATATTAGCATGTGATCTTGGCCATGTTTTCTAACCTTTTCCTCATTAGAAATATGCTTGATGATTTGTGTATATTGTATTTAACTTTCACAACAACCTTATAAACCTTCTATAAGATTGCTATTATTAAACCCATTTTTTTTTTTTAGTTAGACCACTGAGACCTAGGTTAACTTGTGCAAGGTCACAAAACTACTTATTTTTTGCGGATACCCTTATTTTTATGATTGCAAAAGTCAGGTTCTTTGTGCTAACCCGTTCCTTCTACAAAACTGTTTATATCCTAACATATTAGCTGCATGCAGATATCCTACTATGAAGGGACTGGAAAAGATGGTGACAAAAGGGCAACATTGAGATGTGGAACTATCATGAAGAAGCTAAATACTCTTGCTCCTTAAAACCAATATTCCTTTAATGTTCAATATGAATTAAGTAAGAATAATTAAGAAAATTAAGTTTTGGTTAGTTAAAGTATCTGCCTGTGTTTGTAACCCCTGTCTGGGTTGGTCCTTGTTTCCTTCTTCAAGCTTCCCAAAACAAAGCTTCCCATTCACACCAGAGCATTGTGTTAGCCAGTCAGAATTTCCTGGGAAGAAGGAAAAAGGGGTTATCTATGACAGGGGCACTACCCTTGGACCCCCCACAGACAGGCACTGGTACATCTGCACAGCTCTCCCTTCTTTCCCCCTCCTGAGCTCTGCCCTTTGCTTCCTCCGTTTCTTCATGAAACCTCTACTTCTAAAGGATAGAAATTGAGTTCTGCCCCAGAGCTTTTCCATAACCCCTACTCTGACTTCTCATCTGTAAGTCAAAAACCATTACCCTGCAACAAAACAAAGTATCCAGCTTTTAGAGTGGCTTCCATTGAAAATGTGTGGTTGGGAGGGATGTGAGGGATTATAGGTAACAAGGTTTTTTCCTACCATATATTTAAAACCAGAGTAATAGACTTAGTTCACATAACTGAGGGATTTGAATGATTTACATGTCACCAATAATTTGAAGAGGAGAAACCTGGATTAAATGGCACTATAAACCAGATTTACTCTAGCAATGTTTGGGATTTATAGATAAAGATATTAGACAGTCACCTGCCCGGACCTTCACTTACCCTGTATCCAGTGGTAAGTACACTTCCTTTCTCTTAAATCTATTTTATACATTGGCAAAGGGAGGGCGGAATGTGGCTTTCTTAGGAAATTCCATGGAAATGCAAATCAAATACCCTCTCTCTCTCCCAGTATAAATAATTAGGGTGACAGAAGTAAGTGGGTAAGTCCTCTCTAAGCTGAGAATGAGAAAGAATAAAATCTTTCTGTAAGCAATAGATATAACCACATGGAACTATCTTACTTATCCTGGAGCTGAAAGGCTTTATTTCTTCCTCTTGGCTGACCCCCATGAGGAGAATTGAGTTATTAGGAAGTAAGCAATTTAGATCTTGCCCTTTTCGGCAAGACCTGACAGTGTTTATTATCCCCAGGGGCAGCTGGAAATGGGGGCAGGCATATTTTCAGTCGTCAAAAGACTAGGGGAAAAAAATGACTAGGGGACTGGGGTTGTGGCACAGAAGTAGAACAGTTGCCTAGCATGCGTGAGGCACTGGGTTCGGTCCTCAGCACCACATAAAAATAAAATAAAGATATTGTGTCCACTTATAACTAAAAAATAAATATTAAAAAATGACTAGGGACTGCTTTGATATTTATTGGGAAGGAACCAAGGATCCTAGATGGTTAATAGTGTGTTCAAAGAAAAACACTATACTGCCCCAAGTACCACTGTGCTTCCTCCAAGGACCAGTGGTCAAGCTTTCCTGATGCTGACTGCAAATAGAGTTCTCTTGTGGAGGTTGGGCTAAGAGCTCAGTGAAACACCAAACATTGTTTTAGGAATACAAACTTTCTTTCCACTTACTCTTTAGGACAGCGATCCCAGTCTATAGGCAGGGATGGCACTCTAGAACAAGTGACTCCTTTCAAATGTGAGTCATGTGCCATTAGAAGATCATGAAGTCAGCTTAGTGTGTCACAATTGGCAACAAATGGAATAGAGTAAAAATGAATTGCAAATATCAGAGTAGGTCCCAGTAGTAAGGATAAGTATTGTTTCCTATAGTGTGTATGTTCACCAACAAGAGATAGAAAATATATTTCTTACCATGGATCTCTGTAAAAACTGCTGGTAGACCCTCATCTGAAGGACCTAATCTTGGTCCTAAACTTTAAGCTTTCAAAGTGACCACTTGACAGTGTTTCAACCACATTTTCCAAGATTCCCTATAAATGATTAAAGGAGCATGATAAAGAAAATCTTTAATTCTGCTAAATATTTAGAGGATTCCTTTCCCTTCCATATCTAATTTCTATAATACTCATTTTTACAAAAATACTCTTCAATAAAAATTGTATGGAATACCACATTTTGTCTATCTGTTCATCAGTTGATGAACATTTAGGTTGTTTCTACTTTGTGCCTCTTTTAAATATTGTTGCTGTTAACACTCAGGTACAGGGTTTTGTGGGGACATATATTTTTTGTATGCTTAAATATATGCCTGAGAGTGGAATTGTTGAGTCATCTAGTGATTCTATGTTGAATTTCTGGAGAACTGCCAAATTTCTTCTGAGGGTCCCCACCATTTTTTCCATATTTTTTATTGGTGCATTATGGTTATATATAATTATGGGATTTTTGTTGCATATTTATATTTACACATTATATAACACTATTATTTGGCCAATATCACTTCCCAACACCTCCTTCGTAACCTTCCCACCTCCCACCCCTTGGTCCCTTTCCTCTACTGAGCTCCCTTTGATATATATATATATTTTTAATGAGATCCAGCTCCATCTTTCTTTTCCTTTTTCCTCTCTAGCTTCCACATATGAGAGAAAACATACAACCCTTGACCTTCTGAATTTGATTTATTTCACTTAACATGATGGTCTCTACCAACAAGCTATAATGTTTCTTCTACTTCATTCAAATCCTCACGGATATATTCCCTTTTTTGTGATAGCCATCCTAATTAGTGTGAAATGATATCTCATTGTAGATTTGATTTGGATCCCCTGATAAGCAATGATGTTGAGTATCTCTTAAGGTGCTTGCTAGCCATTTTTATGTCTTTTTTGGGAAAATGTCAATTCAAATCCTTTGTCCATTTTTTTTTTTTACTGAGTTATTCATCTTTCTATATTTTAGTTGTAAGAGTTATTTATTCTGGATACAAGTCTTTTATCCAATACAGGATTTGCGAATATTTTCTCCCATTCTGTGAATTGTCTTTTTATTTTCATAGTAGCCTTTAAAACACACAAAGTTTACATTTTAACAAAGGACAGTTTTTTTTTTTTTTACTTTTGTCACTTATGCTTTTGGTCTCCTATTTAAGAAACTATTGCCTAATCTAAAGTCACAGAAATGTATGTCTGATTTTTCTTTCAAAAGTTTTATAGTTTGGGCTCTTATATTGTATTCTTTGATCTCTTTTGGTGAATTTTTGTTTATGTTGTGAGGCAGGAGTCTGACTTCATTCTTTTGAATGTGGACACCCAGTGTTCCAGCATTGGTTCTTAAAAAGTATTATTCTCTATTGAATTTTCTTGGTGCCTACATTAAATCCTAGGAGTAAATAAATACAGCTTCAGAGAATACTTGTTACAAAAGCCAAATTCACCTACAAGGCACATTTCCTTAACATTTTCTGTTCCTGTTTCTTAATGAAGGAAACATGAGAAATTAAATTTTCCAACTGAGTGTGCTTCTGGGTGTAAAGGGATGAGGTAAATAGTACCAGAGTGCAAAACAGTAATGTCCTGAAATTCTTTACAGGATGTAATCTCACACAGAACAAAACTGAATAAGAAAAAAGGAGGAGAAATGGAAATACTGAATAACACTGAACACCAGGGAATCAAAAGCTTGAGTAAGGAGAGGAGAAAAACACTAGAAACCTATCAACAGCTGTTTTACCTTCTACAGGTGAGCACAATTTATCTTTCACTATGAGTTTTGAATACACATATTGTTGTGTTTGTGGTTTATGGTGGATCTTTCCCCACACTTCAGCAATAATGACTTGCATGTTTTGAGCCCTTACCAAATACCAAGTGCTGTTTTAAGTGCTTTACACATATCATCTTACTATGATTCTGGGAACCAGGAGACAGTGAGTGCTATCATTTTCCATTTGCCAGATGAGAAAACGGAGACACAATTATTAAATGGTAAGGTGAAGGCTTTGAAAACCAGGCAGTTTACTTCAGGGTCCATGACTGTATTATACTACAGTGATCTGCAAAAATATGACTATATTATAGTATGTGATCTGCAAAAACGGTATAGATCTAGTAATGACACAGACTGTTAACCATGAAAAAAAGCTAAAATAACTGTGAAAAACAGATGTTTACCAAAACCGGCCTGCCCTTATTTGAGAGAAAGAGCAAGAGGCTTGGGATTAGGAAATAATGAACCTTTTGTATTTCATTATTTTCATAGCATAACTGTGATATAAATGAATTGTAATTTTCTATTGCTTCCAGAGTTCTGGTAAGAACTATTAGGTTTAATTGGTTATGTTTGCCCTTTAATGGACCAGTTCTTGTTTTGCTTGACAGTAGATTTACCCCATCCACCCTACTAACACATAAAATTAATCACAGAGGAAACTGAGTAGGTAATGGTAAAAGGTCCAAGCCTCTGCTTCATCAAGAAAACTTTCCCATAAGAGGATCAGTAGTTCTTTTCTTGTGAGAGTCCAGTTTCCCTTGCTGTGGGTCATTGATTCCTTCAAAGCCTGGAGAAGCCTGAATCTTTGCTTGAGGATGTCACTGATATAAAGAACACATGATAGAAACCATAAATAAGGATGTGTCTATCCCAATTGAGTGACTAAATGTTAGTTTCGGTAGATGTTACTTTAGGTTCAAAAATTCTCTACTTTGAATAATGAATAGGAAAATATCTTCTTCAAACAGATGTAGGTGCCTCAGATGGCCACCATGTGGCAGCATAGAAACAAAAATATAAATACTTAAAATTGTGGAATCCAAAAACCTTTGCAGAAACAAAGTAGGCTCGCGTTATGCAGGGAAGGTTTTATGTCTGATTGATTTCAATTAGTAGTCAATCACCAGTTGTAAATCTAATCTTAGGCACTTATTATTTTTTACATCCATGAAAATCCAAGCTTATGTAGGTTAAGATTTAATTTTTCTAAATTTACTATAATCAGTCATAAGAAAAGTAAAATTTAGCCACTGGCCTAGGACTTCTTACCTTGTTGTAAATAAGGCCTATTAGTGGAATGAGAAAAAGTACAGGAACATGGTTAGAATAACTCCATTGAGTTTTATGCCCCAAATTATCCCAAACTAATAGTCCCAGGGCAGGACCATTCAGTTGTACGAAGTGAAATGTCTCTTATGATTTTTCTCCACCTTTTCCTCTATCTTTTTTTTTTTTTTTTTTTGAGACATCAACCTAAAATCAATGTAGAAATTTTAGAAGAGCAAATGGGTTGGGCATTGCCCTTTAGCAAGGAGTCTCAACCACAGCATCAGGTCAGCTAGTAAAGGTTTGCTTTGGGTTTATTTCTTCAGTAGCAGCCTAAGCTTTGAAGATTTGGGGTCACCTGAGGAGAAATGGCAAAATAGCCTTCTTTCTTTAGTCCTATAGTGAGTTTCCTTTCTCGTAATTTCCACCTGTTTAGTGTTAGAAAAGAATCATTACAGAGCTGTCAAGAAAATGTTGTCCTGAGCTGCTGCTTCATAAAATTTTAACCAATTATTATGAGCTCAAAAGTCAACCTAAGTAGTAAGTAAACCAAAATTTGGATTTTCTTGAAACCCTTAAAGCCTAATTAGTTGCTATAAAATATACTAGGTGAATACTAGCTTTCAAGCATGTAAATTAAACATTCTCTTTTCTTATCAGAAGGAAAATGAAGCCAGGCATGGTGACACATGCTTGTAATCCCATCTATTGGGGAGGCTGAGGCAGGAAAATTGCAAGTTCGAGGCCAGCTTGGGCAACTTAGCAAGACTCTGTCTCAAAATTTTAAAAATAAATAAAAAAGCTTGGGAATGTAACTCAGTGGTAGAGCATTTCCTTAGCATGTGGGAGCCCCTGGGTACAATCCCCAGTACCAAAAAAAAGGTGTGTGGGGGGGTGATGATGATGAAGAGAGGGAGTCTTAAATTTTTCTGAATGAGGGGTCATGATTGTGACTTAGTGGTAGAGTGTTTGCCTAGCATGTGTGAGGCACTGGGTTTAATCCTCAGGACCACATAAAAAAAAATAAAATAAATTTATTTTTAAAAAAGTGAATGACTTTTTGACTTTAAAATCTTCAAATTGTTTTCTATATGAATCATTTCCTCTCTAAATAGTATTATTTCTCTTTGAACCTCTGGCCCATTGGTGTAGCTGTTGAGGAAAATCCTATGACTGTGAAAGCAGGTGCCAAGTCTAATGAACTCCATCAGTGGATCAGGGCTGCACATCAGTTGTTCTGAATTACTGTCAGTCTTTTAAAATCTCTTTTGCCAATTTTTTGGTCATGTCCTTCTGGAATTTTCCTCAGCAGATCTCCTGACCTTCACCCCTCTCTACAACCTCCTCACTTCCCTCTACCTTCTCACTCCTCAAAGAGCAGCATGGCCATCTCATTGTCTTCACATATAACCTAGCCTTTTTCTTTCTAGTCTCAGAAGATGTTCTCTTTATTTATCTATCAATCACTCTAGTCCAGTCTGTATTGCCTTAGTTCATTCTTGTCAGTCTTTTTGGATACCAGATTCCATGGGCTCAACCCCTTCTTCTTTATATATATTTAGTAAATATATATAACAGGGTATAACAAATCCTATCATAACTAATATAGCTACCTTTATACTATAGTATTAATAATATTATCTGATACCTCTTAAGGTTATGTATCAGGTATGTGTTTATATTGCTCTTAATGACATTGTCACTAAATAGCAAGGAATTAGATACTGCTTTCTGCTTTAATAATTTATTAACCTACAGTGTGTGGGGGTTTTGTGTTTTCTTTTTCCCTCTTTCCATTTAGACAAACCCTTCATACTTGGCTAAGCTGATTTTCCAGATGCCACAGAACAAGTCAACTAAATTTATGGACACTGTTATTTTCACACTGTACAATTATGCCTCTAATCAGCGGGAAGAGTTCTTACTCCTCAAGCTTTTTAAAACTGCTCTGGAGGAAGAAATAAAGTATGTATACAAACATGTATGTAAAAATACCAATGCATAGGTCCTTTTGTTAGTGGTGACTGTTTCAGGTTTATTAAAGTAATTTTTAAATTATTGTGGTATGTTACTCATGCATATTAAAATATTTGAAATTAAAATAGAATCTCAATGGATGGTTTCATTTTGGCATTGTTAGAACTGTTCTGCAGTTCAGCTTTTTCCCACAGTGATCCCTTTTCTAGGGCTAAATTAACTTTTTATTTTGTATGTCTACAACAATTGGAAACCAAAAGCTTATTAACACTCAATGAGAAAATGTATTTTATCAAAACTCTCTAAGAAATAGAGCTATAAATACGTGGGATGCAGATCATGATCATGATCTCTGCTAAAGTTCTTAGCTGCTCTTGCTAATTTATTCTCTCTTAGCTGATGTAAAGAGTGTGCAGTTAACTGTAACAAATGCTCCCCGCCTCCAAAAAATAAATAAATAAATAAACCATGAGAAGTGTCCTAAGCCAAGAGATACCATAATTGGCTGTCTAATTTCTTGGGAGCTTATGCTCTGCTAGTTCCTCTGTGTTTCTGAAGCAGATGAGCCAGGCAGCCCTGCCCAGGGGGTGTCTGTAAGCTGGCATAAGAGATAATGAGGCATGAGAAGCATAATGCCCTGCAGTGGGGAGTGTGTGAGTACTAAATGAGCGACAAATGCAATGTAGCAGACTAGACAGATGGAAGGAGGCGCTCCCTCTAGGACTACTGAAGCAGATTTTATGGAAGAGGAGGAGCTGCTTGACCCAAAACTTTGAAGGAATAACTACAGCTTTTATAAGATGAGATAGAGAAATAGTGGTGTAAAAGGCACTCATTTGAGAAAGAGATAAAGCAGGAAAGATGGGCTGGGGACAGATCACTGGAGACACAGAGTAGAAGCCCAGGTATTGAGGTTCTGTTTACTTTCTGGGCAGCTGTGAACAATTTCTGAGCAGGGTATTGGCATGACCACATTGGTTTTCTTAGAAGACGGATCTACCAATAGTGTACATACAGGATGAATTGAAGCTACACAGGTCAGAAAAATGGAGTCAGAAGGAAAAAAGATACAGCTTAGAATTAACACACTGAGTTTGAGCTATAGGTGGAGAACACAGAAAACATGTAGGAGAAAGTTGGAAATGTCAGACTGGCCCCTGGGGAGAAGGTACAGATTAGAAATTGAGGTCAGAGAACAAGTCCTAAAGAGAATGGTGGTTGTGCCAGGTGAGTGAATTCTGAGGGGACAGCATCAGCCAGTTATTTTGTTTGACCACTGGTTTCATCCCATTTATACATAAAATTAGTCAAAAAGGGAAAGAAACCAGAATTTAAAACTGGAGGAGAAACCAGCAAAGGAAGTAAAAAAGAATAGGTAAGATAAGAACCAGGAAAGGGCACTGTCAAGACCCTAAAGGGAAAGAAGTAGAAAAGGGAGGAGGAGTGGTCAAGAGGGAGGAGGTCAAGGGGTTAGACAGAGGGAAGAGAAAAGAAGTCATGAAAAGCAGCTATCAAAGTCGAGAAGAGCTTTCTCAGCCATGCACTGTGCCTAGAAGCTGCATTGCAATGAGTTGAGTGAGATCTGAAGGTGTAGAGACGGTTCATTTGATCAAGAAAGTTATTTTTGAAATGTGATAACTGGAGATATTACAGTCCTTGTATAGTGTCACCCAGTATTGTTGGTCTTGGTTCATTTTCAGATCATACCTGCCTCCTAGATTAAAATTGAGGCTGAAACCTTATTTTTAGATCCTTAAAATGTTCAGATAAGAAATACATCTTACAAATATTTGTTTTTATTAAAATCACACCAACCTTGATCTTCATGGAAAAAAAAAAATTAAACTCTAAATGCTCTTGCCTGCCAGGGAGACATTGTTGAAAATTCTATCCATAGAATCAAACCATTTAATTTTGGGCTGGGCTTTGTTTAGGTCGAAGGTGGACCAGGTACAGGACATAGTCACCGGTAACCCTACAGTCATCAAGATGGTGGTCAGCTTCAACAGAGGTGCCCGAGGACAGAACAGCCTGCGCCAACTTCTGGCTCCAGTGGTAAAAGAAATCATTGATGACAAGAACCTGATCATCAATACCAACCCTGTAGAGGTGTACAAGGCTTGGGTGAACCAACTAGAAACACAAACTGGAGAAGCCAGGTAACAAAGTCAGGAACGATGGTTTTTCACTAACGTTTTCTGATCATTTTTACATATTCATTGATATATATTCTTCAACTCTGTTAAGCCAAAAAAAATTTACTGTGAAAAGTCAGTTTTCAATTCAAAATATTCGCTCCTGCATATTCGCTCCTGCATATCTCATATTCTTGAGCTTTTGGTCATCTTGATACTAAGTGGTATTTTCAAACTTCAGAATCAGTGGCTCCCCAATGCCACAAATATTGTAATCTTCTCCCTTGTTTATCCCTCATGTATTACTAACCCTAGACCTAGATGTAGTATATGCTTTCTCTTCACCTGAGGAGAATCCTGGTTTAGTTACCAAGTGAGCAAGTTCTGTGCACAACTATTAAGAATTCAGTTAGATTGGCTTATTCTGGGTGGTTATTTATGGATTTATTCAATCCTAGCTTTTAATTTCTTGCAAAAGTATATCTTGTAAAATACTTAAGATATGACAGAGAATTATATGGGTGGTTGTCATAGCACTCTAAGAGTGAAAATTCAGGAAAAGTAAAAATATTTAGCTTTGGAGAATTTATTAAATGATTGTGATGGTGATATAGATGCAATTAGGAATAATATCCCATTATCTTTTTTAAAATTATTGGTTATATATATCTCACATATACATCTGTATATGTGATCTGTATAGAATGAGTATATGTGATCTGTATAGAATGAGTATATACACAAATTGCATCATACATATGAATATATGGGTCCCATACACACATGTATAGAGGAGGACTTGGAAAGTTAGGCAGATGTATGAAAACTGGTTCTATGTATTGTTCTATGTATTTTTTTTTTAATTTACTTCAGTGTACTTTTTTTCTGTGATGAACACATATTACTTTTAATAATAATTCAGATTTTTAATGCAAAGAAAGTAGGAGCCAGGGTATGGTTCATTGGTTTTATTTGGTGGTTGTTGTTTGTTGTTGTGCTGGGGATTGGACCCAGGGCCTAGTGTATGCTGCTTGGCAAGCACTCTGCCTCTGAGCCATATCCCCAGCCCAGTGGTAAAGCCCTTGCCTAATGCACACAAGGCCTTGAGCAATCCAATTTCTGCACCATACCAAAAATAAATAAATAAATAGATAGATAAATAAATAAAATTTTTCTAATTTCAAAAGAGCCCAGAGGGTGTCCTGGAGTCCCTCCTGCTCCACTGGTGGCAGAAGGCATATCTGACACTTCACTTAGCAGAATCTTATTATTGGAATCAAGTGAGCAACATCCATCCAGTTCACTTACAAAAAAAAAAAAAACTGAACTGTAGAGCCAACTTGGCAGGAATACTAATATTTATACCTAAGGCTCCAGTTAATTTAAAGTGCTTGTGTTTTCAGCAAGTTGCCTTATGATGTGACCACAGAACAAGCTCTAACGTACCCAGAAGTGAAAAACAAACTGGAGGCATCCATTGAGAACCTGAGAAGAGTCACCGACAAAGTCCTGAATTCTATCATTTCCTCCCTTGATCTACTGCCGTAAGTTGGATTTGTAGCAACTTTGGCATTATTTGCTGAAGTTCTCAGAATCCTGTGTAAGATAAGCCCCTGCAGTGAAGATAGATGTTCTCCTCACGTTGTGCTAACTATTTGAAGAGGATCACATTTTCCTTTTAAATTCACAACTATTCTCTAAAGAAGAAATGATATTTTGGTCATAGCCACAAATACTGCTCAGTTATTATCGTCAGTGGAAGTCCTGTGATTCCATTACCATCTCATTTTATGTTTACTTTTTAGGAAAACTGCTCAGCTTTAGTTGACTGGAACAATTGCTGTTTGTTTCTTCCTCACTTAGCCTTTTTCCATTATTTTCTTTTGTCATCTGTTCTGTATGTAGTTATGGATTGAGGTATATAGCCAAAGTACTGAAGAATTCGATCCATGAGAAATTCCCTGATGCCACAGAAGATGAGCTATTAAAGGTAGATTTTCAAGGGTACTCTCACCATAGCTTCTTTTTGGGGGTCTGACCAAAATTACCAACATACCATTTTGTAAGATTTTTTTTAACCTCATGTATGACCATTTATAATAAGCTGCAAGACTTCTCTTTCTAAAGACTATCAGATTATTGATTATGCTAAGGTTAACTTAGAAATCTTAGACATGACTGCAATTTTTTGTATTAGAACATTTTGGGGGCGATTAGCATATTTTTCACCAAAGATAGTTTTGTTAACTATATTAATGTGTGGTTGTATCACTGCCTTTACTTAATGCTTTGTTAGGGTACACATCAGAAAATGATCTGCACAGGGTATGGTGGCACACACCTGTAATCTCAGCAACTTGGAGGCCTAAGGCAGAAAGATCACAAGTTGAAAGCCAGCCTCCGCAACTTAGCAAGGCCCTAAGCAACTTAGTTGGACCGTGTCTCAAAATAAAAAAAAACATTAAAAAGTCTGGGGATATAGCTCAATGGTAAAGTCCCCCTGTGTTCAATCCTTCAAACAACAAAAAAACAGATAAAAACGGAAAATGATCAAATGATCTGCTTTCACTTGGGAAATGTGATGAATATGCACTTTAATCAAAAAACTCTTAGATTTTTCTCTCTTAAAAATGGTATTTTTCTTTTGCATTACCTCAGATTGTTGGAAATCTCCTGTACTATCGGTACAAGAACCCTGCCATTGTAGCTCCAGATGGCTTTGATATCATTGACATGACAGCTGGAGGTCAGATCAATTCTGACCAAAGGAGAAACTTGGGGTCAGTGGCCAAGGTTCTTCAGCACGCAGCCTCCAACAAGCTGTTTGAAGGAGAAAATGAGCATCTCTCATCTATGAACAATTATTTATCAGAGACATATCAGAAATTCAGGTGAGAGGGGATGTTAGATTTGAAGAAACATGCAAGAAGGTGGGCAAGAACAATGTGTGCCTGGAGCTGGTATTGTTGGGGTGGAAAACAGGGGCCCCAGTGACTCCATGCATTTCTTCTATCAATTGCCACTGAAGGAAGGAGAAGGGAAGGAAGAGCAGGCTGGGTTGCTGATGCCCAGGCGTTTCCTCCCCACCCCTAGTATTCCTGCCACACTGATTGCTTCCTACATGTATGATTTCTGCTATTGGCAAAATGAAATGCTTACTCTTCCTGGTTGTTACACACTTGTACTACTTAGAATGAAACATTCAAACTAGTCGATTTCTGTTTTGTTGAACGTAAGAGGGTAACTTTAGAAAAGACTAAGTTGTTTTCCCCGACAGGAAGAATTTGCCTTATCTGCAACAAACAACAGGAGGAAATGGAGTATTTTGTTTTGAAAGGTTGGGAAAATCCCAGATTTTATATTTGTAGATGATTATGTGTGCATGTGGGCTCTCCTATTCTCAGCCTTTCTTAGTTATCTAAGTAAGATTTAATAGTATTGACTTTGTGTTTCCAAAATATCACCCTGATCATTACACAGGGAGAATGGAGTGAGTCAGCAAGGTTTACTCCCCTGTCAGGAAGCTCTCTGATGAAACACTTTCATCTTGGCATTTGTTTGTTCTCTTGTCTACAGAAGATTGTACAAGTGTTACACAACTTCTACCTCCTTCTGTCTTCATTAGGAGACTAATTGCCCATTCTTCAATTTCCTCTGGGTTAATGACTTGATAGTTCATGATCACCATCCCTATCTGGAAATTTTAGCCTTTTGGGAGAAAGTTACCCCAGTCCTCTGCAGCAAATTTTAGCTTTTTAAGCTGCTTGTTTTTTCTTTCTTTCTTTCTTTCTTTCTTTCTTTCTTTCTTTCTTTCTTTCTTTCTTTCTTTTTATTGATTGCTCAAAATATTACAATGATCTTGACATATCATATTTCATACCTTTGATTCAAGTGGGATATGAATTCTTATTTTTACCACGTGAAGCTGTTTGTTTTAATTCTGCTCAGTGACTGAAAAAGTACTATCCATGGCCCATATTTCTTGCAAACTCTTAAATGTTGTTAAAGCTTCCCTTTCAGTTCCTTTTTTTCTTGAATTATTATCAGCCATCCATAGATGGTTTCCAGCTCTTCATTTAAAAAGAAAAAACAACCCCAAACACCTCCCCTTGCCTCATCTTGAATTCATCCTTTTTCTCTTCCACTCATATTTATTCTTTGTGTGTCTCAATTTACCGTGAACAATTATAACCAAAACAGAACAGGGAGACCTATTGTCATGGGGAACATGATTCCCCACCACCACATGACTTCTGCCGTTTCACCTCCCCCAACCCAGGGTTGGGAAGGGAAAAGTCATTTCTGGTGGATAAGTCTTGAGTGCTCTTAGGAGAGATTTCAAGGATGATTTCAGATGTCTGAAACATTTACAACTGTATAGAAAAACACGCACACACCACCTGTGCTAAGGTCATTTGGAACTTCTCTTAAACTGACATCATAAGATGCTTGTCTCTTTTTCATATCTCTGTCTATATTTGCCATAGTTTAAATGGTAGAGGTTTTTAAAGTATTACAGCATTTTCCAAATTTGTATGTGTAGCTTTAATAGTCTTCCCATATGCCTGCAACTATTGCTTGAATCAAGCAAGAATGAAGTAGTCTTAACTCCCATTTCTGTCAAGGTGGTAGTTAGGGTGGTGTAGACCCAGAACTTGTGCCATTTAAAGTTGTAAAATTGATAAATTACCTTCTGGGTTGTATTCTTTACAAAGACTTGATTCTCAAATCAAGAATTATTCATCTTAGGGCTGGAGATGTTATTCAGTGGTACAGTATGTGCTTTCATGCACAAAGTCCTGGGTTCAATCCTAGCATACAAAATTAGAATTAGTCTTGACATTTTTATTGAAACATCCAGAACTGTGGGGGAGGGGAGGGGGGATACTGGGAATGAACCCAGTGTGTCATGCATGCATTCTAGGCAGGTGTTCTACCACTGAGCTACATTCCCAGTCTTTTAGAGACCATTTTTAAATGATAACATGATTTGATCACAGTGATTCATAAATGGGACCTCATGCCCCTTTTATTCTCCTGTTCTGTTTGAGGAGCTGGGTCTACCATCCAGAAACATGGATGGGCTCTCATAGTCAGGAGCCAGACTGAAAGAAGCTATAAACATCTCCCTCAAAGTATGGGATGGAGAACAAAGTACTAGCCATCATTAAAAATTCCTACTTTGATAAAGCTATTTAAGTCACAGATTTGACTGTAACATTAGGCTTTTCTTCACCCTTTGTTAGGAATTACTTCAAAGAAGCATGTAATGTCCCTGAACCAGAAGAGAAGTTTAATATGGACAAATACACAGACTTGGTGACAGTCAGCAAACCAGTCATTTATATCTCAATTGAAGAAATCATCAACACGCATTCAGTAAGTGGGACTGAGGAGGGGTCTTGGTAATGGACCCATGGTTCAGATGTCTATTCAGTTAAAAATGCTTGGTCTCTATAGGACTTGGGGGTACACATATGCTAATACTCATATTCTTAGTCCTAAAAAGCCCTCCACTATTTATTTCCTAACTTTTAGACATTAATAAAAACTCCTTTCCTTAAACAATAGAGGTAACTTTAGACATAATTTGTTTGCAAAGTCAGATTGTAAATATAGCATTTAGGCCATGAACAGGGAAAAGCCCTGGAGTTCTCTCACTAGAGCCATACTGCCTAGATCCACACCTGTTTCTCCCCCTTTCATAAGAGTCTCAGATTTTCTAGTCTTTTTCTAGAGAAGTGAGAATGTTCTCCCTATTTTGTTGTTTGGGTATATACTATGCTTGATCCTAGCCAAAAGACCAAAAAGCAATGTAAGGTTTAGACATAGGAGACAGAAAATAGGCTGTTCAAGAAAAACAAGAAACCACCAATAGTAGCCTCCTACAAAGAATCATTTCCATAATAGGAGACCTAGAATAGCCAAAGAAATCCCTAGCAAATATATGAGAAACCCAAAGCAAACCTCATAGTAAATGGGGAAAAAATGAAAGCATTTCCTTTAAAATCTGGGATAAGATAAAGGTATCCATGCTTTCATAATTAATATAGTCCTAGACATTCTAGCTAGAGCAATTAAACAAGAAAAGAAAATGGATAAAAATAGGAAAGGAAGAAGCCACTCTTTGCACATGATGTGATAATATATACCTAGAAGATCCAAAGAACTCCATGAAAAGACTGCTAAAGCTAATGTATTTGGCAAAGTGGTAGGTTACAAAATCAACCTACAAAAATCAGTAGTTTTCCTATATGCCAACAATAAGTCTGCTGAGAAAGAAATCAGGAAAATAATTCACAATAGCCTAAAAAACAAACACAAAAACCCTAGGAATAAATCTATGAAAGACCTCTACAATGAAAGCTATAGAACATTTAAAAAGACCTCAGAAGATGAAAAGACCTCCCATGTTCATGGATTGGCTTGGCAAAATATTCTTTTTTTTTTTTTTTTTTTTGCTTTTCTCATGTAACTTCCTTAGGCAAAATATTCTTAAAATGGCCATATCTCCAAAAGTGATACATGGATTTAATGTGGTTCCCATCAAAATATTGATAACATTCTTCACAGAACTAGGAAAAAAACTATCCTAAAATTCATTTGGAAGAAAAAAAGACCCAGAATAGCCAAAGTAGTTTTAAGCAAAATAAGCAATGCTGAAGGCATCACAATATCTGACTTCAAATTATACTATAGAGCTATAGTAACAAAAACTGCATGGTACCAGCATAAAAACAGACACACAGACCAGTGGTAAAGAATAAAAGACACAGAGACAGACCCTTACATCTACAGTCATCTGATCCTTGACAAAGGTGCCAAAAACATACATTGGAGGAAAGATAGCCTTTTTAAAAAATGGTTCTGGGGAAAAAATGGGATATTCATACATAGAAGAATGAAACTGGACCCTTATTTCTCACCCTGCACAAAAATCAACTCAAAATGGACCAAATACCTAGAAATTATATCAGAAACTATGCAACTCCTAGAAGAAAATATAGGATCAACACTCCAGCATATAGGCACAGATAATGATTTTCTCAATAGGACCCCTAAAGCTCAGGAAATAATACCAAGAGTTAATAAATGGGAAGGCATTAAACTAAAAATCTTCTGCATGGCAAAGCAAACAATTAGGAATGTTAAGAGAGAACCCACAGGGAGAAAATCCTTGCTATCCTTCTGACAAAGGATTAATATCTAAAATATAGAAAGAATCCCAAAAAAGTTTATGCCAAAAAAATTAAATAGCCCAATTAATAAATAGGCAAATGAATTAAACAGACACTTCTCAAAAGAAGAAATACAAATAGCCAGCAAACATGAAAAAATGTTCAACATCATTAGCAATTAGGGAAATGCAAATCAAAACTATACTGAGACTTCATCTTATACCAGTCAGAATGGCAGTCATGAAGAATACAAATAATAATAAATGCTGGTGAGGATGTGGAGAAAAAGGAACACTTTTACACTGTTGGTAGGATTATAAATTAATACGACCACTTTGGAAATCAGTACAGAGGTTCATCAAAAGTCTAGGCATGGAAGCACCATATGAACCAGCTATACCACTCCTTGGTATTTATCCTGAAGAATTAAAGTCATCATACTACGGTGATACCTACTACCCACGTTTATAGCAGCATAATTCACAATATCCAAACTATGAAACCAGCCTAGGTATCTATCAGTGGATGAATGGATTAAAAAATGTGATACACACACACACACACACACACACACACAATGGGGTTTTATTCAGCCATAAAGAAAAATGAAATTGTCACTTATGAGAAAATGGATGGAGCTAGAGACCATTATGTTAAGTGAAATAAGTCAAACTGAGAAGGTTGAGGGTCATATATTTTTTCTCATATGTGGAAGCTAGAGAGGAAAAGGAAAAGAAAGGTAGAAATAGATCTCATGAAAATCAAAAGGAGATCAATAGAGGAAAGGACCAAGGGGGATGAGAGGGAGAAGAGGGAGAGAGGAAGTACTGGGAAGAGATATTGGCCAAATTATACTATTGAATTGTGTATTATGTGGATATACAAATATATAGCAAATCCTATTATTGTATAGAACTATAATGCACCAATTAAAAATGTGGGGGGGAAAAGAAAATTACAAAAAAATACTGTTCTACAATAAAAAAGAAAGAAGGAAGTTTTGATCAAGAAGAGCTGTGCAGGGGCTGGGGATATAGCTCAGTTGATAAAGTGTTTGCCTCACATGCACAAGGCCCTGGGTTTAATCCCCAGCACCAAAAAAAAAAAAAAAAGAGAGAGAGAGAGATACAGGAGGCATCACAATACCTAATTTCAAATTGTACTACAGAGCTATAGTAACAAAAACAGCATGACGTTAGTATCAAAATAGACATAAAGAACACGGGAATAGAATTGAAGACACAGAAATAAACCCACCTACTAACAGCCATCTGATACTTGACTAAGCTGCCAAAAATATAGAAGAAAGCTTTTTAACAAATGAGGCTGGGAAAACTGGACATCAATATGTAGAAGAATGAAACTGGATCCCTATCTCTCACCATGCACAAAACTCAAATGGTTCAAAGACTTAGGAATTAGACTACAAACTTCACAACTGCTAAAAGAAAACATAGGGTCAGCCTTCCATCATATTGGTGCAGGTAGAAAGACTCTTTAAAAATACCTCTGAAGCTTAAAAAAACAAAACCATGAAACAGTAAGCAGGATGACATCAAATTAAAAATCTTCTGCATAGCAATGATTAAAAAGCATGAAAAGAAGGCTGGAGTTGCGACTCAGTGATAGAGTGCTTGCCTATCATGTGTGAGGCACTGGGTTCAATCCTCAGCACTACATAAAAATAAACAAATAAAATAAAGGTATTGTGTCCATCTACAACTAAAAAAAAAAAAGCATGAAGAGAGCCTACAGAATCTTAGTCAGATGCTCCTCTGACAGGAACTTAATATCCAGAACATATATATATATATATATATATATATATATATATATATATATTTTAAAAAAACTTAACACCCCAAAAGCAAATAACCAAATGAATACATGGGCAAAAGAATTAAACAGACATTTCTCAAAAGAAGAAATATATGGCCAACAAATATATTTAAAAATGTTCAACATCTCTAGCAAACAGGAAAATGCAAATCAAAACTACACTAAGATTTCATATCACTTCAGTCAGAAAGGCAGTTATCAAGAGTATAAATAATAATAAATGCTGGTAAAGATATGGGGGGAAGGCACTCTCATACATTGTTGGTGGGACTGAAAATTTGTACGACTACTCTGGAAAGCAATATGGAAATTCCTCAAAACACTAGGAATGGAAACACTGTATGACCCAGTTATCTCACTCCTTGGTATTTATCCAAAAGAACTAAAATCACCATACTATAGAGATACAGCCACTTCAGTGTTTATAGCAACACTATTCAAAATAACCAAATATAGAATTGGCCCAGATGCCTGTCAATAGATAAATGGATTAAGCAAATGTAGTATATATGCACAATGGAGCTTTACTCAATCACAAAGAAAAATGCAATTATACCATGTGCCGATAAATGGATGGAACTGGAGAACATCATGCTAAGTGAAATAAGCCAGACTCACAAAGTCAAGGGTCAAATATTTTCTCTCATATGTGGAAGCTAGAGAGAATCAAAGGAAAGAAGGCGATGGGGAATGGATCAGATATCATAAAGATATCTCCTTCTAATCAATGGATTAGAAGGAGATTGAGAGGGAGGAAAAGAGAGGAAATGTAGAAAGAATTTAACAAAATCACATTATGTGCATATAGAAATATACCACAGGGAATTTCACTTTTATATATATATGTAGAAAGCATCAATCAAAAATAAATATATGATGGGCTGGGCTGTGGCTCAGTGGTAGCGCACTTGCCTGGCACTGGATTCAGTTCTCAGCAGCACATATAAATAAATAAATAAGGTCTATCAACAACTAAAAAATATATATTAAAAAAATACATGAGTGAAAGGAGAGTAGGAGGAGGGAGGAGTGAAAAGCAGGGACAGATGGAGTAAATCAAAACCAATGCATGTATGATTTTGTCAAAATGAACCCAACTACTGTGTATAACTATGATGGTCTTTAAAAAGAAAAAAAAAATCACTTCCACTGTTCTGGGAATTCCCATTTCTTAGAAGCAGATGATTTTGCAGTCTGTGCTGTCATAATGTCTCCATCTGGTTCTCATGCAAACTTCACCACCATCAACCATTAGTTCTCCACAGTGGCACTGGGAAGGAATGAGGAAGCCATAGAGAGCTTTTCAATCATTTAAAATGAAAAGAGGAGCCAGGCACTGAGGGGTTTTGTTTTGTTTTTAAA